GATTATGGCATATGATTTTTCAGTTGTTTTACCCTTTATGTAAGCTGTTATATGCATGGAAAAGAGGTGGATACCTTTAACAAACCTATATTAAGGCTTTTGGTTTATAAAACTGTGTCTAGTTGCTGTCCTCAAATAGCCACTCCTCTATTTTAGGTTCAGTTACTAATATTTAAAATTTGAATGCTGCCTCACAGGATTACTCTGCAAAGCCTTTCCTGGGCCACCATAGGATTACTTTTTGCTGTAAGGTCATCCCCACCTGCCATGCTCCTTGCTATTAACTTTATATTCCCCTTGCCTCCTGGGTCATATTGTGTCCTTTCTAGGCATCAATCCTGCTGGCCATTTTTTAAAATAAGCTCTTGATGCTTAGCCAGGTGTGACTTAAGCCAAGACCTGGGTGGGGTGAGGATTTTACCATCCTTTGTGTTTCTCTCCTCTCTCCCCACTCCTGTTTCCAGTTACAGCATCTGTGGGGAAGAGACAGCACTTAGACCAACAGCCTAAAGGAGAGCAGCAACATGCCCAGCACCCCCGCAGCTGTCGTCTGCCACATTTTCCTGGCAGCCATTTCAGGGGAGGGTACTTGGGGTCTAGGAACAGAGAGCTGAGAGTCTGGCTTAGAGGAGCTTTTAGGGAGAAGCAAAGCTAATTCATGTTTTCATTTCTGTTAGCTGCCTGGGAGACCCACATGAGTGAAAGACCAAATGCAAATGTTTCAAATAAAATAAATACTAGAGTTTAATAAACATTAGAGTTAATAGTAACAAGAATAAATCAGAGAAGAGAAAGTTATGTGCCTCAAAACCCTAGGGAGCAGTTGTGCTATGAATCCGATACTACTTTGAATAGAAAAGTTGCCCCATAGGATTCTCCAATTCCTCTTTAAATTCTCAGAGTTCAAAAACCAGATTGGAGATTTGGGTTGTGAATAATTTTATGGGAAAAGGCAGTGAATATCATTCATGTATATGTAAGTTTCTCTTTCAATTCCTTTTGAGCCAAATTGTTTGTTTAACCTATAATTTAGAGAACTTTTGAACAAAAGGAACTGCCATTGCACCCTTCATATCCTATTGTATCGGTTGCTATGGTTCACCAAGTTTCTACATTTCTAAATATTTAACGGTTGGGATTTTGGTGTATCAAACCTGCTGTTCTTTTGTTTAAAGTCACATAAGTGTGCAAAGACCTTTCCTTTATCTTTGAGCAAAAATACTATTTGAAGGGGAAATTCTGTTTTGACATCCATACAGTAGTAATCACAGACTAGGGAAACATCCAGGAGCTTGAATACATGACCATGTCTCTGTAATGTGGAGCTTTGTTTTTCTGTAGGGGAAAAAAGAAAATTCAGAAGTTCATTAGTAACTATGAACCATTGCAAACCCAGTATTAGTAATCTGGTAGTTCCAAAACTGTAGGTGAGTGTTGAACTATTAGCTGCAAATGCTGACATTTATTAGTGTGGAACAGTTTTCTGTACTGTTGTTATGTTCCCTTAATTTCAAACAATGTAAGGAAAGTTACATTTGATTTCTTTAATTTTTTTACAAGTATTACAGTGTTTAAAATGCTTATTAACAACATTTTAAATCACATGAACAGAACACTTCTACAGTTGCTATGTAGTTAGTGTTCTGCTATATTGGGAGTTGGGAGACGGCTAGAGCGTAGGTGGAGGAAATCACAGGATGAATCTGACCGAACACACTTGAGAGCCCACTATTGGGCCTATGCTGTGGCGGTGAAGGCGGCGAAAAAGAAGTTTTTTTCCGCTTCCATTGCCTCCTCACAATGCCGTCCGGCGGAGCTTTTTCGAGTGGTGCAAGGCCTGGTTCGCCTGGGTCCTAAGGAAGATCCGATGCCACCCTCAAAGGCCCGCTGTGACAACTTTGCCAGGCATTTCAGGGAGAAAATCGCTCAGATTCATCACGAGCTGGACTCCACTAATGAATCAGAGGTCTCTGAGGAGTCGCCAATGCTACCGTCTGGTCCAAAATTATTGGAGGAATTTCAATTATTGCGGCCCAATGATGTGGACAAGGTGCTTGGAAGAGTACGTCCCACCACTTGCCTATTGGATCCTTGCCCGTCTTGGTTAATAAATAACTCCAAGCACGGGATTGGGACCTGGATCTTGGAAGTGGTTAACGCTTCTCTGAGGGAGGGTCGAGTGCCTGCCCCTTTAAAGGAGGCAGTAATACGACCGGTCCTGAAGAAAGCGTCACTGGATCCAGAGATGGCCACTAACTGTAGACCTGTGGCCAACATCCCGTTTCTGGGCAAGGTGTTGGAGCGAGTGGTGGCGGGACAACTCCAAGCACTCTTGGATGAAACTGATTATCTGGATCCTTTTCAGTCCGGCTTCAGACCCGGGTACAGTACTGAATCTGCCTTGGTCGCCCTGTACGACGACCTGTGCAGGGAGAAGGACAGGGGGAGTACATCCCTGTTGGTTCTTCTGGACCTCTCGGCGGCTTTCGATACCATCGACCATGGTATCCTTCTGGATAGACTTGCGGGATTGGGGGTTGGAGGCACTGCTTTGCAGTGGTTCCGCTCCTATCTCGACGGTCGATTCCAGAAGGTAGTGCTGGGGGACCATGTCTCTGCGTCATGGCAGCTATGCCATGGAGTACCACAGGGCTCCATTCTATCCCCTCTGCTATTTAACATCTATATGAAACCGCTGGGAGAGGTCATCAGGAGGTGTGGGCTGCGGAATCATCAATACGCTGATGATACCCAGCTTTACCTCTCGTTCTCCACTAATCCAGGTGAGGCAGTGGCTGTGCTGAACCGGTGCTTGGCCGAGGTAAGGGAATGGATGAGGGCCAATAAACTGAAACTCAACCCAGACAAGACAGAGGTCCTGTTGGTTGGCAGATCGGGTTTTGGAGAGGGTGGATTTGACCTGGTCCTGAATGGTGCAACACTCCCTCTTAGGGATAAGGTCCGCAGCTTAGGAGTACTCCTCGACCCGGAGCTTTCTTTGGAAGCTCAGGTGACAGCAGTAGCGAGGAACGCCTTCCTTCAGCTTCGGCTGATTAATCAGCTGCGCCCCTACCTGGAGTACGACTGCCTAGCGACAGTGACACACGCGCTGGTGACTTCCCGCCTAGACTTCTGTAACGCGCTTTACGTGGGGCTTCCCCTGAAGACAGTCCGAACACTTCAATTGGTGCAAAATAGAGCTGCCAGGTTGCTGACGGGGATGGGGCGTTATGCTCACATGACTCCAGTCCTCCGTCAGCTTCACTGGCTTCCCATTGAAGCCTGGGCCCAATTCAAGGTGTTGATTATGACCTATAAAGCCCTAAACGGCTTGGGTCCTGGCTACCTGAACGAGCGCTTACGTCCGTATATGCCCGACCGCCCTTTGAGATCTGCGGGAGAGTCCCTTCTCCGGGAACCCTCCATGAAAGAAATTAGGAGAGTAAGTACCCGGAGGAGGGCTTTCTCTGCAGTGGCGCCCAACCTATGGAATTCACTCCCCAAAGAGGTCCACCTGGCACCGTCGTTACTGGTTTTTCAGCGCCAGGTAAAGACCTTTTTATTTAAACATCATTTCAATTGTTAAAACATATGATCTGGCCAGGGCAACTTCTTCTTCCTTCTCTTTCTCCTCCTATATTTTTATTTTATACTGATAGTTTTAATTTTATATTTGTAAATCAATGTATTTTTTGTATTTTTGTATTTAATGGTAATTTATTATGTACTATTGTATTTCAATGTATTTTATCATGTTGTAAGCCGCCCCGAGGTTTCGGCAAGGGGCGGCATAGAAATGTAATAATAATAATAATAATAATAATAATAATAATAATAATAATAATAATATTGTAGGTAGCTATAGGATTTTTTTTGTTCCAATCTATGAAGCCAGAAAACTACTCTGATACCATAGCTGGAGATTCATGCATAGATCCACCTCCCCATTTATAGGCAGTGCTGAAAGAACCAGACTGGTTCTTTCTCTGAAGTCGGACGAGTTAAGCACTTTTGAGGACATACCCTGGGGGTGCCTTAGCCTTCTTTCTGCTCTCTTGCAACACTGTGCTTAAACATGTGGAATTGGCCAATAAACTTGCTAGTCAGAAGGAATGCAGAAGAGACTTGGCCTCCCTCCTCCTCCTGCCCAACAGAGAATGCCCACAATCCTCTGAGTTTGGCGGGTTCTGTGTAACCTCATTGGATTGCCTTCTGAGTGTGCTAATTTCTTCTGTCAAATATTTCAGGCCAAATAAAACATGGTAAATGGCACTGTTAATGCAGCCTACTACAAAGTTGGGATGCAACTCATTTGTGGGTCTGAGACTACTTGTTGAATGAAATATAAGGCCCATCATGTTAGAAGCATGGCAGAAAGTTCTTTCCTAGGTAAATAATTTGGGATATTAACCAAAAATGTGGTTAGCATTCAGTTGATATAGTTTTTGCTCTTTTTTAAAAGTGGTGTTGACTTGTCAGTGAAAACATGTCAATTAAAACTTACCCAGTGGTGTATTTTTCAAAGCCAGTAAACACTGCATTAACACAGAAATAAAATGTAAGAGATATATCAAAGCCAACTTTGTGGATCAGAACTTGGCTGCAGTATAAATCACATGTCTAGCTAGGTAGTAAGTGCATGTGTTGGGCTGGAACTCCATCTGGCTGCAACTTCTTTAATAATTCACAAACCTAGAGCCCATTGGCATGAAATCTGTGCTTATGCAAGCATATTTTTAAAAATGGATTAAACACTCATTTGTGTTCTGTTTGCAGAATTGGGCAAAGGTTCTTTGCAAGAATTCATAGGGGAAATGGGCAATAAACTACAGTCCTTTTCTAAAGAAGTGAAACAGCTAGACATTTAATTTCTGATTTGTTCGTGAGAACTGGGTAATGATTAGTTCGCTTTTTTAAATTTCTGAAATGGTAACCCTAATAAATGATGCTTCTGGATACTCATCACTTGTGGATTTTTTTCTTGTATTCCTCTGGCACAGAGTGAAGATAGTCCAAGTCCCAAGAGACAGCGTCTGTCACATTCAGTCTTTGATTACGCAGCAGCATCACCAGCCCCATCACCGCCAATGCGACCATGGGAGATGACATCACATAGGCAGCCTCCTTCAGCTCGACCAAGCCAACATCACTTCTCAGGGGAACGATGCAACACACCTGCACGCAACAGAAGGAGGTGTGTTTTGGAAGTGCCTTCTTAAGCTACTCGTCCCGATTAAGGATGGTAGCGACATACTTCTCAAGATGTTAATTGCAAAAAAATGGTTTTCTGAGGTGTTAAATTTATAATTGTTATGCATATGTAAACAGAAGGATATCCTACAAGCCTCAGCATGCCCCAGCCAGCTGTAGGGGCTGGGTGTGCAACCTCATTACTAGGGATGTTTGAGGAATCTGTTTTGGGGGTGGGAATCCATCAGATGCCCTGTGCTTTGACACGGCTGCGAGTCCGAGTTCCTGGTGAGCGTCCTGAGTTCCTGACGCACTCGCCAGGAATCAAGCCCCACATAGACATGTGCAGCATCCTTGGTTTATGCCGCTGCATGTGATGCAGAAGAAGGGTACTGGTGACGTGAGTGGTCATGGACATCCTCCCAGCTCAGCTGACTTCCAGAGACAGGGTCAAGTGCAAGAGCAATTCTTTGAATGCTAGAGGGACAGATTCCATGGAGCCTCAGTGCATCCACACAGTGTTTATACAGCCATAGTGTTATTTGCAGCCCTAGCTCTGTCCTCAGAAACCTGCTGCAATTGGAGCTGGGACTCTATGCTTACAGTGCCTTCCTGCCCCCTGCAGCTAGCACAGCAAGAGCTGTGCCAGCTGCTTTTCCGAGGTCACAGGCAGGTTTTCTGACTGATAGAGAAGAGGGGAAAGAAGGAGACTAGTGCCGGCTTGAGCAGGACAGTTTGGTGGTGCCTCTGCACGGTGAGGTGTGGCACTTAGCCAAAATCAGCATCTCACTGTATTGTGGAGAGGAGTCAAGAAGCACAGAGCTGACCTTCATGTCTGTTTCCCCCTGCCCTGCATAGGATGCCCATAATCTCTGTGGCTGCTCGTGGTAGAAGTAGCATAGTACGGCTTTGGTGGGAGCCAATCACTTTGTAGGTTGCAGAAGGCATTGGGGATCTGCAGCACATGCCAAACTTGTTCAACTCGGCAGGTTTTCTTAAAATGCAACTTGTTTCTGGCTTTTGTGACTGCAGATGAAACCAAGAACACTTTGAAGTGTTTTGCTATGAAAATTAGGAATGGTGTTCATTCCTTGTAAGACATCCAGGAAAGAAGAATAAGGATCTTTGCTCCCCACCCCATATACATTTTCCCCTCCCACATTTATATCCCTGCTTTCCTCAGAGCATGCCAACATAGCTTATAGGTGGGCAACGCATTTCATTATCACAATCCTGTGAGGTAGGCCAAGGCGAGAATTGATTGTTTTGCCAAGATCACATGTCTTATGGTTGAGCAAACTTCAGTCTCCCCAGCCATTCTCTCCACTACAGCACTCTCATGTGTCTTTTCAACTCTGTAGTAAGGCCCATTGGTGTGGGCATTTTTTCCTGTGCTAGATGTAGTTTTAGTTCCTCTCAGACTTTTCCCTGCACTGTGATGGATTTAAAAGGCTACATGAAATCTAATCTGGGCAGAACTAATTTCATCTCCTGCATCATTGGTCAGTTTCCACATGATAGTTTGAGCCTGGAAATGAAAAGTTCATCTGGAGTGACCAAAAACTATTGTGCTACACAGGTCATGAAAATCCCAGAGATTTGGAACCCTTCTCACCTGCCAGTAAAGATGCCCTTCTGCTTTCATGCCTTTCATCTCCATCAATCCAGTAGCTTGGCAAGTGTGGTGGGAATCCGCATTGTGCATTCGGAATGAAAAGAAAACAACCACCTTTGCACAGTGGCTACTTGATGGTTGTCAGCTTTTAGCAGTCATCACAGGGAGAATCGGTTCTCTGGCTTCTGACCCATGTGCTAAGTTCAGCTTGGCCTTGAGTTGTGTTGCTCAGTGATCAGAGGAGGGAGGGGCTGTGTGGTGACTTTGGCATTTCCATCTAGCTGGAGATTACAGAAATCTGCCTAATCCATGCTTGGTTATACGGACTAGTGGGTAAGCTTTTTGAAGCGGCTTTTACACACATTCCAGTCTTCCATATGAACGTGTATCTGCTTTGTTCTGATTACAGAAATTTTGGAACGATGGTGAAAATGTCTAAAATCCATAACCTGTCTAAAAGGGAGGATTGCTTTGTGTTTGAAAAAACAAAAACAAGAATCTTGTCCAATTTGATTGATTATTTGCAGCCCTCCTGTTAGACGCCAGAGAGCAAGAAGAGATCGATTGTCTCGGCACAATTCCATAAGTCAAGATGAAAATTACCATCTTCCATATGGACAGCAACAAGCAATAGAAGAACCCAGAGCCTTTCACCCGCCAAATGTCTCTCCCCGTATGTTGCACCCGGCCGCTCATCCACCTCAACAGAACGCAGTGATGGTTGACATTCATGAACAGGTATGACAAAAGAGAGAACAGTATTGCTCAAACTTCTGCTTGCTGAGTTACACCTCCTGATTTATAATTGGCAGGCTCACTCTGCTCTCATACCCCAAAAGGCTTCTTTTGGAAGAAGAACTGACTGGCTGCCTTGGGAAGGGTCATTTCCTATCGTCTCTGAGGCAGGGTCACTCTCTAGCATGCATGTATACTGAGAGACTTTGAACGGTCCATTCATACCAGGTGCGGAGACATGGCAGAATTATCACAGCAGGCCAACTGGAAGGAGGCAAATGCAGAGTAGAGTGTACTTTGCACTGCAGCGGCTCAGCCCTTGGGCTTAAATGATTTCTCATGGCCTACTTACTAGTGTGCCTCAGCACAGAGCTTTTGAATCACTAGCATAGGTGACAAGTGTCCTGAAGACACACAAATCTTCCTAAAGTTAAGAGAAAATTCTCCAGTATTTTGCTTGTTATTCTTTCAGTATATTAAATGCCACACAGGTATGTTAAATACACCCAACATTTCTCTTATGCATAATTTGGTTGTTGGTCAGAGAAGATGGATGTGTCACATATTCTGATATTTAAAGCATTAGTCTATTCAAACAGTTACACAGAACAAGAGCGAATTGGAAAACCAATTCCAGTTCCAAAAGTGTCCCTCCAAAAGCTTCCAGTCCATTCCAGAAGCTTCGCATATCTCCATGGAGGCTCCTGCCCATAGCAAATGCAGTAGACTTGGGACAGCCTTGTGTACTTTAGGCTTCTTCCCCTAGATGATTGGAGCTTGTGCTTGTGAGTCCATCCCTGCTTCCTTTTTAATCCTATGGCCCTACCTGATATGTGGGCAGTTCCAGCATGTAGCCAGTAGAAGAATCCAGGCCATGTAGCTTAGAAGAAGCCTTACAGAAGGACTTGCAGGCCTAGGGGAACTGTGTGGAAGAAGAGGATGTGAGCAAATTTATGTAACTTCCGCAAGGTTGCAAACTCTTACTTTTGTCATTGCTGTCAGACTCCATACAGTATTTGACTTCAATCCAGTACAGATCCAGTGTGGTTAGTGGTTAGAAGGCTGGGCTGGGATTCAGGAGATCTGGATTCTGTTCCCCACTCAGCTGTTAAACTGCTGGGTGACTCCAGACTCTCGGCCTAGCCTGCCTCACAGAATAGTTCGAATATATCAGTGTAGTAAAATTAGCAGTCAGTTGACATCGAACTGGTAAATTTGACCCACATGCCAATCTTGGCATAAATATATTTGTGGAAAACCAGAACGTATTCAACCCAAACGCTGTCACAACCATTAGCAGAAAAGGGCGAGTCCTATCCCTTTGTCTTGACCTGCTTCTGTTCTTCACAGATCCACCAGGGCACAGTCCCAGTTTCGTACACGGTAACCACAGTGGCACCACATGGGATCCCACTATGCACGGGCCAGCACCTGCCAGCCTGCAGCACACAGCAGGTTCCGGGGTGTTCTGTGGTCTTCAGTGGACAGCATCTCCCTGTCTGCAGTGTGCCTCCTCCAGTAAGTGGGTTCTTCATCTTCATGTTGAGCACAAACACCTAATGTGGCTTTGGAGGGGCAGAAAGGCTGGAGAGGATGCGTAGGGGAAAATATGCTGTAGGTTTTTACTTGGAAATAAGTTGCACTTAGTTCAGTGAGACTTCACTCCCAGGAAAAGTGTCAGTGGGATTTTAGTGTAAATGTATGAGTACTTCTTCAAGAATTGGAATGAGTGTTTATGTATATTTCAGAAACACAATTATTTTAAGAACAGAATATTGCAGAGGGGGGTTTCATACATATTTTGCGTGTTAATTTCCAAAGGTGATTTAGACATAAACTCTGAATGTGCATCCTAGTTTTAATCACAAACATTTAAAAACTTAGGGGGAGCATATGGGAATTCACACAGTATTCACCGACTGCTATTTAAAAGCCCAAATGCAATGGCTTTTTTTGTATTTGATACTCCAGTCAGATGTTCCAGAATTTTAGCCTGTCTGTGTTGGTTGTCTTTATCTCTGTGTTCAATATTTTAAGTGTTTACAAAAGCTATTCAGCAGTATCAAAAGAGGTTGCATTCCTTAAATGTAGTTAACTGCAAGTTCTGTTGTGTTTAGGCTGGTTCCCCCCACCATTTTTTCAAGGCACTATTAGTGATTTTTGTGATCTCCAAAGTTATAGCTCCCCAAAAGTGCCCAAGAGGCACACCAGCTCTCTCTTTCTCTCCTTCCTTCCTTCCTTCCTTCCTTCATGCACCTGGAATTTGCACAAATATCTTTGTTCTTTTAATTGCATACCAATATCTGTATGTATGTTTTTGAGACGTTCACAAGTGTGCACTTATGGGTGTCCGAAGTGAAAAGACTTGACTTATTAATGTCCTGGGAAGCATTTCCTATCTAAGGGCAGGAGGCACCATCCCAGAACATTGATTAAACAAGGCTACAAAGAGGGTTTTTTTTTTTTTTTTTTTTTTGCTTTGTGCTCTTCTGACAGCTGTTGAAAGGCAAAGTGTAAAGGGAAAGCAAAGCTGCAAGTGATTCTTTTTCGCAAAAAGAGGTGGGCAACAGATCACTGCCTTCACAGCAAGATATGCAGGAAAGTGGAAAAATGTGAGCCAGTCCAGCTACAGGGTGGCTTGGGCACTTTGGAGCGGTTGTCACTGGCTGCTACTACAGAGACTACAGAAAGTGGTAATAGTATCCAGGAAAAAATGAAGGCAGCTGTGTCTAGAGTAAAAAGGGCTTCTGGTTGGGCAAGGGGAGAAGAGACAAAATGGATCTTTCTGCAGAGTCTCCTGGGATACCTGTGGGAAAGCTGAGCAGGAAAGAGAAGGGCACTAACCCACAGTCAGCCTGATTGCCTGTCAGATGGATTCTGGGTTGTTTCATGAATAACCCACGGTTCTTGCAGGGTGGGTTATTACGGCATGGCTTGCCCACAGTAGTGTTATCAGAGGGATTTAAGACTGCAGCAGTTCAAGGGGTCACTGAATAAGCTTTCAAACTAGTGGACAGTCAGTATTGCAGGGAATTCCTTTTCTTTCAGTCTTCTAAACTTGCAGTGAATCTACTGTAGATAGATAACAAACCATGGCTGTACCTTTAAGAAAAAGTCTCATGTTCTGTGCTTGAAAAATAATAGTCATTGTCCTAATTCTGAGTTCACATAGCCAAATTCTGCTCTGAGGAAAAATACGTTCTGCAGTTGTTCAGATCCTAGTTGGCATGATTTGTTTTGCTTTTGAAAATCGTGTGGAGAGCTGTTCTCTTCAGTGGCACCAGTACTTCCCATGTAAATATATCCTGCTTTATTCTATTCTGATGCCTTGTATGAATGTTAAGAACGTCTGGATGCCATACATTGCAAAAGGTTATGAATCTTTCTCTTTTGCAGATGCTTCAGGCATGTTCTGTTCAACACTTACCAGTTCCGTATGCAGCTTTCCCACCCCTTATTTCTAGCGATCCATTTCTTTTGCATCCTCCACACCTTTCCCCACACCATGCTCCACATCTACCACCTCCAGGCCAGTTTGTTCCCTTTCAAACACAGCAGTCGCGGTCGGTAGGTATCTCTTTTTGTATATAAAAACAATTCTAACTTCCTCTGGCAATTGGTTTTGGAACAGTGCTTTTAAGATAGCATGCTTTGGTTGGCAGAGTAGAAGAAGAGCTGAGTGTCTTTAGTGGAAAATCTTGAGGGCTTTTGCAAGTGGGAGCAGACCTTTCTTGAGAGGAGTCTGTGACCTGCAAAATCTGATTTAGCTTTAACCACTTCAATTCCCAGTCCACTAGAAATGCAGAAGAAAACTGAGATTCTAAACGCATACTCCAGCACTGGTTTTTAAAAATCAGGCCTTTGGTTTCACTGTCAGAGAGAGTGGAAAAGTGGGTACTAAAGTTGTGGATATAGAGAGTGGATGTACTCAGAGGCATGATATAGGATAACAGTTGCATCATATGATGCAAAACATATTTATACTGAATAAGACACAAACTTTGATTTATAATTTGATTCTGTGTTCAGAATTGGAATTGGATTTTAAAAGTATGAGAAATGTTAATTTCAGCCAACTTACTATGCATTTTTCCTACACATTCATCGCCTCCACTTTAATTTTAAGTACTTCATCTGCAAGACAGTATGGACATGTTTGTACTGTGTGATAGCTATTTTGTAAGTAAGGCACCTAGGAAGGCCTCGGAAATTATAGGCAGTCTATAAATATAAATAAATAAATAAATAAGTCTAACAAATTACTATTTTTGGCATGTACTCTACCAGATTGTATCTTTAAAATGCTAAACACTGGGGGGGTTTTTTTCCCATAGCCTCTTCAGAGGATAGAAAACGAAGTAGAGTTGCTTGGAGACCATCTTCCTGTCGGAGGTTTTACCTATCCACCTTCAGCCCATCCACCTACACTGCCTCCCTCAGCCCCTCTCCAGTTCTTAGCACATGACCCATTACACCAGGAGGTTTCCTTTGGAGTTGTAAGTGACGATTTTCAGCATTTGTCATGAAAATGCTTTATTGTGCAATAAGCATTCTGAATTATTATTGTTCTTATTACATTTATACCACCCCATAACCAATGGGGCTCTCTGGGAGGTTTACAGATTTAAAAATATACATAGAAACAACAAAATATTTAGAAAGCAATAAAGAATAAATACAACAATAAATCAACAACCCACCACCAGGAGACCCAGAAAAAGGGTTATGTTTATCTGGTTTATATAATTTTCATTTCCTGATTACATATACCTAATCTCTGCACCCAGGACCACTTTGTCATTAAATCCTGGACTTTGCCTGTATTTTTGAAGCCATGGGTATAAAGTAAAGCAGATACACACACCACAGTTCAACATTCCCATACTGTGTGTGCTGCTGTACCTAACCTGTGTATTATTTGCACTGGAACATGCTGTTCTTCCTAAATGGTTTTTAAGTAGGATTAGTAAATAAATGGGACTGGATCCAATGATTCCGTATCTCTGATGGGAAGACTTCCTCCTTCCGAAAGAGGGAAGCTTTGGAACAGCTTTGAATCTGTTGTTTTGTTTTTCTTAAAAAAACAAACTGCATTGATTAGAATTAAGAATGTCAACATGTGGTACTGTTAAGAACACGAAACAAGTTAGCCATATCTCTTATGGCATTAGGACAAGTTTATCTAACCATCTTCATCAATTTTTGAAACTCGGGAATTGCACTGCGGAGACAAGGGAAAATATACTGTGGTAGAAACTCTTTTGAAACCGAGAAACTTTTCTAATGTCACACTGGATCTCATTGTAACTATAACATTTCTGCCTTGCTGATTTTAGCCTTATCCACCCTTTATGCCGCGAAGACTCACCGGACGCAGCCGGTATCGATCCCAGCAGCCAATACCACCACCCCCTTACCATCCCAGCCTGTTGCCATATGTGCTGTAAGTCTTCCTGTGTTTAGCAGCATATTCCATAGCTTTAGAAAGAATAGCACTGGTGCGCTGTGGTGGTTAGGGTCTTGGACTGGGACTAGTTCCCACTCAGCCATGAAGCTCACAGGGAGATTTGGGGCCCATCATTCACTCTCAGCCTAACCAACCTCACAGGGTCGTTGCTATGAGCATTGACTGTACAAGCAACCTTGGGTTCTTCACAAGTGGGGGGGAAAGGTGGGATGTAAATGCAATGTAATACTAATCGTGCCAAAATGACAGGCATAGTCTGTCAATGGCCACATGCTGCTTTAATACAAAAGGAAGTTGCCCTTTAAACTGTGTGTAACTGCTATTTTAGGCCCTGTGGGAGTAACAAAGGAAGGGCACAGCCCTTTGGAGAGTTCTTCTGGTCATGCTGCATGCAGCAATCAGAGCCATAAGAGGGCAACACTGACTCTTGCACTTCTTCTATGCTTTGAAGTGAGATTTGTATCAGAGGAAAACAAAGAGCTGCAGGTCCTTTTTAAATGGAAGGGTAAACTAGCAGTTGTCTGCAGTCTTCTCTAGCCATTGAAGGTGCTGCTGTTATTGGGTGAAAGCAGCTAGAGAGGACGGAATGAAAGCAGCTGGAAATATGCCTGAGGACCACTGATGTTTCAGAAAGTTCTGGCAGATGCAGATGGCACTTAGGCAAGACCTAAAGATGACAGGGTTTCCATGGTGTTCGCTTTCCCAGCTGTGCCTATTTTTTTTAAAACTTTATCTTAAAATGTTCTTTGTTTGGGTGCTTCCCTAACAAATTCAAACAAAAGCTTTTTGGCATACATTAACCATTTTAAGTGTTTTGTCATCCTGTTGATCTATTAAATAGTCCAACAGTGCAGTAGAGATCAGTCCAGTCCATAGATTAGTTTTTGCTATGTGTCATTTTCGGTGTTTGCCTTAAAAAATTAAGTCAGTAAACTTGCTGACTAGGCATTATTTTGCAGTTTTAATCCAGATCGAATGGCTTACTCATCTCATTCAGTTCCAGGGTCTCTTCTAAAGGCTGAGCTGGATTGCTGCAATACTTGGTTTTGAACGTGGAGAACCAAGGATCAATAAATGTTCCCTCATGCCATCAGATACATAGTCCCTGTTTCCTTTCTCAGGGGCCTCTTGCCACTTGTCTTTGCACTTACATTTTGTGAATGAACAAGTATGTCGCTGCCCTTAGCTGCATCTCACTCTCGGTTGAGGATCTTCCACAAATTCATTTGTCAGAAGCACATCCCTGTGCACATCTTGGAGCTCGTACTTCTTCTGCAGATTGAAGAAAGTGAGCAGCAGCAGAGTTTGTATCTGGCTCTTCTTATCCCTTCCATACCAGTCACTTTCTGCTAAGCCCTCTGTGCACGGCAGAGGATTCAGAGAAGGCTGGTGGCAAGCACCGACACGGCTGGCGAGTAGACCAAGCCATCTAGGTATAGAACCTCTTTCATAGAAGTACAGGCTCTGCCATGGAGATGTGCCGCCCCTCCAGGATACTCTTACGTAGCGTTCAGGTGATTTTCTCATCTCAGTCTAACTGCATGTTGCAGAGCAGCTTCCCTGCTTCTCGGAAGGAATTTCTGTTTGAGAGGTGCTTTTCCCTCTGCTGCTCAAACCCACTCCAGCCCACCTGAGCTGTGGCAGGGTCTTCCTGGTGGTGGAACAGTCCTCCTGGAAGCGCATATTTTAAAGATCTTAGTTTCCCAGCCTTTAAATTATGCTATTTTGGTATTTGGGTTAATTCCACTGACTGCTTTTACATTGTTTCGTATCATGCCATGCTAATTTTTGTTATTTAAATTGGTGTTATTACAATTTTAACTTTTTGTTACATGTGGAAAAGCGGGGTATAACCCAAACAAATGCATAGGAATTTAAATGAAACATTTCTTTTTGAAAACTTAAATTCACAGTTCTAAAATGCAATATAACTGGAAAGCAGGAACAGGTGTTGCATAACATTTGCAGTGGCAGGGGAACTAATGTCATTTTAGATTTGTGCCATCATGACTTGCTCGAATTAGAACAGAATGCGAATTCTTGATCAGTCATAAAGGGCTGCAGGCCATTTGGCTTGTACTAAATTACAATGCTCACTCTCTCCAAAGGTCCATGCTTCCAGTGCCACCTGCGGTTGGGCCAGCCTTCAGTTTTGAGCTGGATGTAGAAGACGGTGAAGTGGAAAACTATGAGGTGGGTCAATGCTGTATCAATACGTGAAGAAGCATAGTTCATGAGACTTGATTATGTTTCTTAATGTTTGAAATTTATTCTTGAAACGTGGTGGATTGTATACAGTGGTTGTGTGAGCAGATTGCAGCTCACACAGCTTGCTCTTTCCCTTCCCCTCCTCCCAGCCCCTGTAACCCGTGAAAGCTGTCTCCTGCATTGTAGAGGGCTGCAAGTGGTGATGGGTAGAAGGACCGGAAGCTGAGTAGAAGGATCTTGTACCCACAGTTTCAAGTGACAAAGCCCCTCTTGCCCCATGTGCAGTCCCATATATCACAGCACCAATTGTTCAGGAGGAAACCCTGACCCTCAGGTGAAGGTTTCTGTAGGTTCAGGAAGCTGCAAAGGTGAAGAAGAGGAAGAAAAGGGAACTGGTTGCATGATTTGTTTTTCACTCGGCCTCATATTGTCACTTGATACTGGTTGAGGATTGCTAGACATAAGCAGCAAAATGTTGGGGTTTTTTGTCCAAAACAACAACAACAACAAGAAGAAACACAATTTTTCACCAGTATAATTATGCCTGAGGAACGACAGGCATATGCCTTATGCCTCTATGCCTTACCACAACTTTAAATGTCCCTGCATGCAGGAACTCTGTGTATTCCTGGACAACTTAAATTCTGCATGAAGAAGAGCTAAGTTCAGTGTCTTCCATAATGTCTTTCATACAACAATACAAATGTGATTGTTTCTCAGTTTGCATAATTCTGGTTGCTGTTCATGCCATAATTATATTAACAGTGTAACATGAAGTGAACCACTTGAACCACATGAGTTTAAAAGGAGTGGATTTCTTCTATAGGCACTGCTGAACTTGGCAGAAAGACTGGGAGAGGCTAAACCAAGAGGACTGACAAAAGCGGATATTGAGCAACTTCCGTCTTACAGGTTCAATCCAAATAACCACCAGTCAGAACAGACTTTGTAAGTATTTCTTCCTCTTGTTTAGGTTTTCATATGCATTCATTTTACCTTTATTGACTGGAGTCTAGCATAGCAAACAACTGTTAATTCAATCACTTTACCTTCTTAAAATTACTACCCAGTGTAGATGTGTGTTACCCTACAGTATAAAATAGGTGTGTGTTTTTAAGCTTATTACTGGATATTATAATTATTAATAATGAAGCCAAAATCTTAAAACACACATATTCCAACTCTTTGATATTTAGACTCAGATGAAGATTTCTCGCACAAGTAAAGATCATTTTGGGCATTAGAGGTAATAAAGGTGCCATTCCTTTCTTGCCTTATCCAAAATTTAATGGTGTTGCGTTGGAATAGCGAAGAATTGGTGCAGAAGCTGCACCATTTCCCTTAATGTGAAAACTAACCCTGCAGAGCTGAGTTGGCCATTGAACACCCTCCTTTACATGCCACGGGAGTATCTGCTTTGGAACTGTGAAAGTTGTAAAATCAAGGTGGGTAGTGCTGTGGGACGCTGCTTTCTGAGGAGAGAAAAATAAAAGCCCCAGGAAGTTCATAGAAAACAAAGAGCTTGTCTGAATTGTGGCCACTGTCCACAGAAAACTGGGCCACAAAAAGTACTTTTCCAAATATTATCTGTGTTGAGACATCACTGGTAAAGCATTGAAGAAATCAGCATTTAAACAAAAAGAAAAATGTAGCATGATTCTTACTTAGATATTTATACATACATACATACATACATACATACATACATACATGTATTTATAGGCCACTTATAACTGCCAAGACCTTCCTATGAGGTTCATAAATAGACTATAAAAAAGGATTGGTGGGAGAAGATGCTTTTGGTTGTTTTGACAGCAGTAATTTTGGATGTGGAAGGCAACTGGCAAGTGTTGGGTTCTCTCTTGCCTGAGCAATTGTCTTTGAGAGGACAGGGTGAAGGCGGTCCAGCTGCATTAATCCCCCACCGGCAGCACCTTGCTTTTATGTGCTGAATGCCACCTCATCACTTGGAGAATAGTCAGATAACTTTCACCTCATGGAATTGGTTTGGTTGAGTCATCTCTCCCAACTTTACCAGTTCTGAAATAATTTAAAAAATGGGCCTTACCTGAGAAAAAAAAAAGCTCTTCCTTTTCCTAGCCCTAGGATGACTCACTTTCCAGTCTGGACCCAAGGATTTCTGCCACTTTCTTTCCCTTGCCGAACACTGTCATGTACTCTCAAGTGGCTGGTACATTTGGCTCCTCAAAAAGCAAAAAGGAACATACCTGCCTTGCTGGTAGAAATGGTACTGATGTGAGGACTGTAAGTGGTGAGCTGGGACATCAGCCATTCTCATGTTGTCTTGGTCTCACCAGGTGGTCTTTGGCAGGCCTTTCTATCTCATCCATGATGCCTCACCTACCTTCTTTGTCATGGTCTCCGTGCATCACACCTGTATGGGTGCTGTGCCTGCACAGTGCCTGTTGCTGGGAAAATTTAAGAACTTTAACGGTTTTTGGCAAGAACCCCGTGCCCTCCCCCACATCGTATAAATGGCCAGAGTGGCCACCCTCTCACAAGTCTGCTTGCGCTTGCTGTTCGCCGTGCCTTGGGCCTTTTTCGCTTATCTCCTTTTTTTGCACTGTTACTTCTATAAATTTTAAACTTCTTACTTCACTTTTCCACCTCCTCTGTCTAAACCCTACCCATTGTTCACCTTTTCCGAACCCCTCGCTTTATTCTCTTTTTCCCTTCTCCCCCTTCCAAGTAAAAAAATTAAAAAACCCTTCTATCATCTTTACCTCTTATAACCTATCTCCATTTGTTGTATTTCCTCTTTTTCTTCTTGATGGCACAGCGGGCAGCTTTTCGTAAGTGCGCTCAGTGTGGCGCCAAAATGTCTCCCACTGACCCTTATACTCTGTGTCTTCTCTGCCTCAGAGAGGGACACAGGACTGATAAACGCAGCCACTGCCATTCTTTTACAAGGCAGGCATGCAAAAACTGTGAAAACCGCTGCGCAAGATGTTGTGGGACCAAGCTGTGGTCGCCATGAAGCAGATCTTGGTTGAGACCGGCTCTTCCGTGGCTCCGGGACCTTCAAAAAGTATCCCCTCTTGTCCATTCAAAGGGGATTCGGCCGGCATGGATGGAAGGCATTCCTCCAATTCTCCACGTAAACATAAGTTGAAGAGGAGGGTACCTTACACATCGTAGGAATGACTGCTGAAATGAAATGCCTTGATTACTCAGAGTGCCATAGAGAAAAGCATTATTTTGCAGAGGGTTTTATATTTATATTTAAATATTTTATATTAACTTTCAGCATAAAAAGTGTTACATTTACAGATAGTTAAATTAACACTACTGCTGCTTCCATAGAATGAGGTATTCTGCAATCTCTCTTCTAGGTGTGTCGTGTGCATGTGTGATTTTGAGTCGAGGCAACTACTTAGAGTGTTACCATGTAACCACGAGTTCCATGCCAAGTGCGTTGATAAATGGCTTAAGGTAAATACTCTGTTTTAAGAAAGAAACTGCAGTAACTGAAATGCATGTTTGTATTGCATCCCCTCACTTCTCAGTGGGGCAAGGAAGTACTCTTCATTTCTACAGAAATATTTCTCACTATAAAAATAGTCTGAATGGATAAGAGAGGGAACTGTCCATCCTACTTCTTATGATAATTTATTATTGAACAGGCAGCCTTTAGCTGTAGTGTTCCCTGCAATCTGTGTTTTGAAGAATGTTATGCGCACACACGCACCCTGATTTGTTTGAAGGTTAAGAAGGAGCCAGAAAATTCAAGTGGTATTAATATAATGATGTAAACAAGGCACAAAATATGAAAGCCTAAATGAAGTAGGGAATTAATTATGACTTTTGGAGAAGGTAGATTCCATTGTGTCACTCCAGTAGTAAATCTCCAGTAATCTATAAGACCGCCCTGAGTGGGTGGTATACAGAAGTTTTAAATAGATAAATAAACTGGAGAACTCATTGACATCCTGTATGGTGAAGCCTATTGCACCATGACTTTGGTTGCTTGTAAGTCATAGGCTTGTGACAGTTCTGTGCATATTCTTCATACTTAAATATGGCCACTAGATGCCACCATTTATTTCTACACAGCAAAGTGCATCCAGTAGCAGGGAACCATAATTATAATGACTAGTGCTTTGCAATGGCTTCCATGTCGATTGTGTGCACTAACTTAGAACCAAAGTACACTGTGCAAGCAGAAAGACGTTTCCATTAGTGAATGGGGAGATCTCCCTTATTTTGGTCGATTACTCCTTTTTCTTACAGCCCATCACACCATGTCACAGGCTTTTCCCGAGGGTTTCTCAATCTCAGGAACAAATTTTCAAGAGGTTGCTGTTGGGGGTGGGGGGGAGGAGCTTGATTTTGTGGTTAGAACTCTGCTTGTGGAAGTTAGGATCCAAGCCATTATTTCAGAAGAATGCAAAATGAAAATAAAGAGTTGCATACTTTAGAAGATATGACTACAATTTATCTGTATTGGTACATACTGGAAGCATGTCGAGGTTGAACATTTAAACTACTCTAGCATGGTAATCACTAGACAACTCTACTAGTATTGGTAAATCAATCATTTCAGGAGTGTGCTGGTTTCCAGTTCCACTTTTCTGTTATTTGTAGGATCTGATTAATACATAGAAGCAGCAGCTTTTAATGTTCAAAGTTCAGCGGCTAGATGGATATTGACAGAGAGTCTTGTAGGTTTGTGATTGAACTTGAAATGTGGGCCACATATTCCGTATGGCTGGCAGCCAAATGTGTGCATTGGAAATCATTGAATTCAAGTTTTTAGTGAAAGCCACATGTAAATCATGTGACGAGGGCTGCACACCATCACAGAGCCGAGCTGGTTCCTTACCGCTGCAGTGGATGTCTGCAAGAGGGAAACCCAAATGCACAGACTGTGAAGCGTTCCTCTATCTGTTGGCTGCTGAAGTTGTTGGGCTACAACTCCCATAGTGCCCTATTTGCCTGTTTCTTGTTGATGATGGGGTACTGTAGTCTAACCCTCAGGGAGGGTGCTGGGTGGGAAAGGCTGGCTTATGAGTTGAAGAACCCTATGCAGCCAGTGTTACTGATCCCTATGAAATTTATGGGCATAGAGGTCTATTCATACACACTTCCCTTTTGTGGCTTTGTTCACATAAGCAAGTTACCACTTTGGGAGCTATGCTCAACTGAACATGTTTGCCAAGAGTCACCTTCTCCCATTTTACGATGGTATGGAAAGCAATGCCTGTTGTCTGTCATGAGAAAGTAGTTCAATTGATAATCACATTGCTTCATAGTTCAGTGCATTGTCTTGAACTCTTTTACCATGTTAAAACCAATTCCCCATTAAGAGGCTGGTTTCATCTTACTGATTTTGGGAGAGCAGTTCCAGCTGCTTACGTTCACTTCATTATTTAATCACCTTTATAATTATGTCAAAAGGAAAAGCTTGACTGAGATGCTGACTGTTAAAAAAAAGACAGGATGAAAGTCAGATTGTTGAGCCTTTTAGACAGAACCAGTTAAAGTTGGGTAGCTAAGTCCTGTTAATTTTTCTGTAATGCTGTTGAGGTTTGGTGTGGCTTCTTCCCTGTCCTGCAGTTAGTTTTATTTTAGTGGCATGTAGTTGAGTGCATAGTGAAACTGAGTGCATGCTCTCTTCTACCTCACTCTGTATGCGGTGCTTTGTGGTTGTATCTCTGGCAATTCCATAAAAGCTGTTCTTCTTTTCTAGGCCAATCGTACCTGCCCTATCTGCAGAGCCGATGCCTCGGAAGTGCATCGTGATTCAGAATGACCAGTCTCCGAGCACAAGTCTACTTTGGGTGTTCCTATTCACGTGTGTGCGCGTTTGAGTGTGTATATATATATATCTCCATATATATATATATATATACATATATATATATATGAACTCTCCATTGAACTTAACCCGTGTGGCTTCCAGCCTTCCCTTTACACAAAAGGGTCAATGGACCTTTCTTTGCACTGTGTGATTTAATCAACTATAAAGCTTATAATTAGTCTTCACAATTATGGGATTGTTATACTAACTGTGTGATTGGAACTCCAAAGATTTTTTTTTCTTTTAGCTTAATTTCGTGTGTGCACTAACATTCCCTGGTTTTTGTGTGATCATTCCGAGTGTTGCTGCGAGATTACAGTGGAACGTGATCTTCTAGCATGTGCTTTTATATTAAAAAAGAACCGTGGTAGCTCCAAACAATATAGCAATCTACCTTATATAGAGCCTTCAAATACTGTGAGTGGGAAGAAACTGTGTGGATGGTTGCGTTGATCGCAGGGTGTCTGTGTGTGTGTGTGTGTGTGTGTGTGTGTGTGGGCAAGTAAATGTTTGAATGGTTGTGTGCAAGAGGACTTATATACCAGCATGTACTGAGGATGTATGTGTGTAGTATTAATTATGCTGCAATGTATAATCTTGTGTGTTATTTAAACAGTACTAGTACTGTACACTGGTTTCTTTCCTTGCGTTTGCAGTTGCACACTGAATGCTAAGGGTGCAGCGATTATAGACATTTGGTATTTCATCCCCCTGCCATGCATTTAACGGTATAAAAGGGCCCTTTTGCTTTTATTCAGAGAATTATTATGTTTCCCATTAAATGGAGATATTATGTCTGCCATTATAGAACATATTGACTTCTCAGTTACTATGAATAATTAGCCCTGTATTTATAGACTGCTGAAAATATCCCCCTTTTTAAAATTTGCAGTTCGTTGCTAACTTTATAAGAAGTTGCCGCATTTGCACGGTCGGGAAGCAATATTAAAAGTTTTCAGCTGGTAATTGACAATGTCCTCTCTTTCTTTTTAAAATCTTCTAGCTGATGATAGTTCTTTTCTTTTGAACTTTGAGACAAGTTTTTACGAAAATGTCGTTTCAGTATTTTCCCCCCATTGCGGTCCATAAAGATGAAATTGAGAGGAACTTGGAAAGCCTTGTGCAAATGTTTCTTGTATTGTTGGCAACGTAACTGCTTCCGTGGGTGATTTAGCTTAGAAACTTTGGCTCACCAACTCGGATTTGTCAAGTGTTAATTTAACCCACAGTTTGCCCTGGTATGTGCCAGGAGCATTCCACGGCCATTTTATATTCAATCTGTGATCAGGCTATATGATGCCCAAACTCAGACACTGCAGGTTAAACTTTGGTTAAAGAAGCCAGAATTAATCTATAATTAGTCATACAGTTGGCTGTGGGTTGTTTAACCCATGATTAATCTATAGCAGGGCTGGCCAGACTTGCTCAGTGGAGGAGCAGCATACTGTAAATGTTAGATGTTTGAGAGCCAAAAGCAGGCATTTGTAGGCAGCGAGCAGCAAGCAGGTGCCCGCGGGCGGTGGCTATAAGCAGCAAGCGGGCATCAGCGGGTGGTGGCTGTAAGTGGCAAGCAGCTAGTGGGCACCTAGAGCAGCAGGCCACAAGCCACAAAATAAATTCAAAGAGCCAGCCACATGGGGCTCCCGAGCCTCAGTTTGGCCACCCCTGACCTATAGTATCCATGTTCTGACATCACGTGGCAACCCCTAGTTGGGGGTTGCATATTCCAAATGACTGTGATACAAGCCTGGCACACATTATGGCAAATGGGTCAAATAATCCACAATTTGCAGCCATTACATGGGAACAAGCCTGGAAAGAGAGAGAGAGAGAGAGAGAACCTTCTTTTTCTTTTCAAAAACTTTCAACCTTGTGAACAAAATCAGACTTTCAGCACTTAGGGCTAGAACATGTGGCTTTCCTTTGCCCAGCCGTGATACCGATATTTTACTTCCTGGCAAAAATGTCACAGGATAGTTTCCAGCCTGTGGTATTAGCAGGCTTGTGTGCGATGTCAAGGCATCCTGTGTATTGTCTGGGTAATACGAAAAATATTCAAGAATGGGCTGTTATATGAAATCAAGGGGGAGCTACTAAACGATGTGAATCTAGAGTTGACCTCCTTTCAGCTGCCTTCTTTTGGGAAAAATTGGCATCCCTTAACATTTCAGGCTTGCATTTTTCACTCCTTTCAATACACAGCTGTCTGTGCATGGCTCCCATGCATCTCTTGGAGAAAAAACATGTGGATTCTTTTGCTTTTCTCCCATGTTTTAAGAACCGTAATTTTTGGCTGCAACAGCACAAGCCCTGCAGCTAGCAACATGGCTGAAATGTGTTGCTGCTTGGCTTTCAGTTCCTGCTGTGTCTTTTCTAATGCTCTCATATGCTGCAGTATGCCAAGTCTGTTTCTCCCTCCAGGACAGTGTTGGTTGTGAATCATTCTTCCTTTTGAAGGTTCTGCTGACCAATTATAGATAGTGATTCTGCAAAATTAAAAAGCACAATTCCCATCCTGCCCCACTTACTTTCAGATGCTGTTGACCTCTATCCTAGCTTAGGCACCTTGGTCTGTCCACCATGTCAAGAACTTCAGGCTAATGAAACAGCGGAACATATCCTGGGTGACAGATTTACAGGTGTTACCATTTTCCCCTCAATGTGCGCTAAGGAATTGTCTCAACATGTCAAAAGGGTTAAATTGCACATAGTAAATTTTATTTTTTTAAGCAACAACATTGTGGAGGGAAAGCCACACATGTTTTTACAGTACTTTGGATCTTTTGATATTAAGAAATTTTTACCTGTACAAATCTAAACATAATATTTCCCCAGTCAGTGTCCTCTGTCAAAGCATAGCAGTCAGGCGCTTGCTTACAGTAGAGCAACAAGAAACAGGATGCCTAATTCTGCAACGTGGCTCCCCAGCCCTGAATCTGGATCCACAGCACAGGTGAGCATCTATCCCTTGATACCAAGTTTCAGTTGTGCAAAACTGTCAGTGGATGGAGACCACCAAAGAAGGGACCAGTTGTCACACTTGTGTAATCGATCTCTTCTCTGAACAGCTTTTGTTCGCATGGGATCCTTGCACATTTATGCTCAACCATGAACTGCCATGGGTTATCCACATTTGTGCATCTAATTCAGGGGTCAACTGCTTTTGCTGGCAGGCCGGTGTCATTTCTGACCCTCTGTAGGTTTCACTCCAGAGGGCACTGGAGGGAAAAAATCACCGTGGTCGGCTGCTGAAATTCATCAGCGCACCACTACAGTATGCGAAAGGGTCACATTTATCTTGGAAAAAGGCTAAATTTGATCTTTTAATGCGTGGTAGCACTAAAACCATCAGTTCTCCCCCCTCGCTGCTGCCAGATGTGGCAGTGCAAGGGCTGCACTTGCCCTGGATGTTGCCCAGCCCTTGAGTCAACCCACAGCCCCCGTTGGTGCCCTGACAGCACTGGATTTTGCTGGGCAGCCTTTTCCCTTCTTATCCCTACCTCTCCCAGTAAAGGAAGGAAAAAAAAGTTGGCTTTATCATGTTGGCACTGCTATGGTTTTATTTGCATGAACTGTCGACTTAATTTGAGTGTCTCCTGGCCTTGAAAAAAAGGGTATAAAGACCTTATGGATATCTAAGGTCTCACTTAGTGGCTTTCTTTACAGATTATTTTGTGCAAAGTACTTTCTTTTGTATAGACTTTTTTGTACAGTCTCCAGAATGTGATATTTTGCCAGCTGTTAGCATTTCCAGTTCTTGTAATATTTGGGATTTACCAGCTCCTTCATGTTGCTTTCCAAAAACTAATCACAAACTTGGTGACTGGTAGACCGATCTAAGAGAGCTGCAGTCCTCTCTCACCCTCTGTCCCTTTGGTACCTTCAGTTACCTCATTTTGCTATTTTGTGTTACAAATTTGCTAATGATTATGGAAGCTTTGGGGTTTTGTTGGAATACTATTTGTCAAGTGTTTCTTTCAAATCATACTCCATTGTATCATTTAACATGTAGTTTTAAATGTATTATATCTGTAACCAAATCATTTGAAGGCTTGATAAATTTTTAACAAAATTTGTACATTTTTTATGAGAGTTACTAGTAATGCTTTACTAAGTAGTGCAATGAATTTTTATTTTTAATCCCTGTGCCCAATTTTGGAGTTGAGAGGGTTGTTCAGTAATAAATGTATGATGTACACTTACACAAGATTGTGTTGCTTTTTTTCACACCTGAATATGGCACTAGCTCTCTGTCACTATTTAGGGTATGTCTGTATCATGCCAGTTAATAGAATATCCTGCAGAGCAGGATAATTTATGTACCCTCATAATTCTTAATAGGAATATTGCACTTCTGTAATGGATTTTCCCACCCAGTCCACTGGCAAAGCTGCTAGACCAGGCCCCAGCAATCTTCATTTACCCACCCACCTCCGTTCCGTGCTGCTATGCATACCCAGCAAGGCCGTTCCCAGCCCTTACGCCTGCCCCCATCCTGGCTCTGCCTCCCTGCTTGGATGGTCTGATGCGGACTGGTGCCAAAGATGCAGAGGTTTTGGCACTCCTGTTGAAGGGTGGCTAGAATGTCTCACTGACTCCCAGTTCTCTCTCAGGCAGGTGGCAGAGCTGCCTTTATGCCCAATGGAGGGCCCACCACTTCTCTGGCCTCACTGATCGCAGCTGGAAGAAAGGGGGCTCTGTGTTTGGTCCCAGCTGCTTTGTTTCAGAAAAACACTTTGACACCAGCAGTTTGGAGTTCTTAGCCAGTTTTCTTGCTCTGAAATTGTATTTGCAGTTCTGTTCCAGCTGTTTTTAAACCTCAGGTTGCAGTTGATAGAAAGAAAATGCCGTCATAAGATTATGTTACTTCTCTGCATATGATGAATTAGAATTTTAGAAAGTTACTGTCACTCTCTTGCGGGACCTTTTAATATGACAGAGAGTATCTAGATGCACTCTGAAGTTGTATGGTCAGGAATTTGCCTGGTTCAGTTCTTGTGCATGGTAAAATAGCTTTGATTTCTGCCATGTATGTACCCTAGACTGAATCTAAGTTGCATGATTGAATAGGTTGCATTAGGCATTGATTTATCTGAAAATATTAAAAGGATCTAGAGAAATGCATGCTCTGCGCTAGCTGCTTTGGGCATGAAGTTATTTCTGAAGCTGAGGACATGTTGATTTGGACAGGTTTTCTTCCTGCCCCACAAGAGATAGCTAACCCTGTTTTACTCTGGAATTTATGAAATGCATTTTTATCGTGCCCAAAACCCAAATCTCTCTGGACAGTTAACAAAATCAAATACATAAAACAAAATAGTAAAACCAATAAAATCACTAAACAAGCAATAACAAACAAGACCATCTCCCTTAACTGAGAGCACTAGAACCAAGGATGTCTTCCTAGGCAGTTTTCCCAGTAGGAACAATAAAACCTCCCTGCTTATAGAGAAATTGGCAACCTCACTGAATGATGGTGTGTCTTGTTTTGCTGGGATGAATGTAATTCCTCCCCATTAATCCTCTCATGGGTCCCCATCTCTGCTACCACAAGTTCTGTGAGCCTTCAGGAACCCCTTGGGTCTGGTGGGTTTAAAAAAACCCAGATACAGTGGTTCCTTGGCTCATGAACTTAATCCGTTCCGGGACTCTGGTTGTGACCCAAATTGGTTGTGAGCCAAGTTAAATTTCGCCATAAGGTTCAATGTAAATAAGGTTAATCTGTTCTTTAACTACTTTTTTTTTTAAATCAGAAAAATGTGAAGCAAAGTGACAAAGAACAACAAAGATCGTGGCCATCTCCCCGCCCCACAGTACAACCCACGCCTGTCATCCCTGCACACGCCCATGAACCCAGCGTGCTGGTGGGGGGGGAGACGGGTGCGAACGCGAGCATGAGAGATGGGCGTGAATGCAGGCGCGCTTGTGGGGATGGAGACAGGCATGCTCATGCTGGGGGAGCGGGGGAGATGGCTGAGATTGTGGTTGCGCTCGTGCAGGAAAGACGGGTGCACTCTCTGCCATCTCCCCCCCACCGCCCCCAGCACAGTCGTGGCCATCTCCCCACTCGGGGTGTGGGGTGGGGAGATGGCCGCGATCGCGGTCGCCACCCAATGTGGAGTTCGCGGCCTGAGTCAAAATGTTTATGAAATTTTTGTTCGCGACCTGACTTGGTCATGAACTGAGGCATTCGTGAGCCAAGGCACCACTGTATGGTGAGGCAGGTTGCAGTGACACCCTCTGCCCATGTGCAGAGGCACCTCCCCCCATGTGTTTTATATTTTTAGTGTTTTATATTTTAACTGATGTTTTGTAAGCCGCCCCGAGGCTTCGGCGAATGGGGCAGCATAGAAATTTTTAAATAAATAAATTAAATAAATAAATATATGCCACACCCCAAATACAATGCAGATAAGCTCCCATAACGCTTCACAGGCCTCTCCTGTTACTCTTTATAGCTGGTGTCCCTGGGGTGAGCGTGTATCTCCTTTGAGCTCGCTTTCCTTTGCCCCAGTGGACGGTTCCTCATTCTGCCTTCTTCCTGTTTGTGCCCATGGAGTGGCGGGAACAGGACAAGGCTGGAGATGGTGCCTAGTTAATCTAGTTAAGGTAAAGGAGAACGGACAATGTCATTATTGGCACTAAAAATAATGTGCATTGTGGGAGTGGGGGGGAGGGGAAGAGAGGGGGAGAGAGTGCTTAGAAAGAGCTGTGTGTCCAGCATTAGTCATACCTGGAGCAGACCCATGGAAAGGAAGGATGCTTCAGTTAGACTAGCATTGGATGCAAACCAGTGAGTGAGAATGCACCTTTTCAGTCATTTCATGGCATCCTCTGCATTTTCCTGAAAGGCAATCTTGACATGATGCTTCTACTATACATGAGTCCCTCATGGCTGTTGTCAATGGGAAGCCATCTTCTTTCACGCCTATTGACCAATCAGTGCCCCTCCCGTAAGGGTTGCTTCACACATGACAGTGTATGCCGAGCCTGCTTTGCCTAAAAGAGCATTGGGTAAAGTGGTTAACCCCTTGCTGTAGTGGCTTGCCATGCCAGTGTTGCTCCGGTTGCCACAGGGAGCAAAAAAGCAGCCTGAGGTGTTTGCTCCATGAAATTCAGATCTCCTGGCATGGTGCAGGAGGATCGCATGTGCCACGATGGCTTCCACTTTGCCACCTTGGAACGAGACATGTGGCCTGCCTCTTAAAGTGGCCTGCTAGCATTTTGGTAGGTTGTGCTCATAGGGTGGTTTTTTTCCGGGGGGTGGGGGTTAACTATAGCTTTTCCTCTTTGGTCATCTGCTTTTCAGGGCAGTAGAAACTTATCTGATTTGTGCTGAGGAAATCAGGAATCTTTACTTTGGTACAAAGAGCAGGCTAATTGGGCTAAGCCTCCCTTTCTCTCCACCTCTGGCAAGCTTGCAAGAGAAGGAGGATGGAGACTCAGAAAATTTAAGGAACGACAGGTGTTTTTCCCTCTCTGCTTCAATATGTCTCTATCAGTCTCTAAGTTCTCTACACTGTTCCATTGCCAAAGGCAATCTGAGGGTGGTATATACATACATGAGAGGGATTCCTATCCAGCTCCAAAGGCTTCTGTGATTGCCAAGGGAATTTGCATTTGGGAGCAGGCTAATGGGTGCACCTGGCATTCCACGGGCTGAGGAAGGTGTTCCAGAGCTGTGGCTCACCTTGAGCACTGGGTGTGAATGGCCAAAGCTGAGGACCAAAAAGACACTGATTTCCCTACACTAGTTTATATGTGTGGATGCACATTTAGACATGAGTATTATTTAAATGGCATAGAAGACTGACTGGGTCACCTGTGTGTCTTGATCAGCCTTGGGATGCAAGTGCTGCTGGCAGGCCCAGCACGTCCTTCTGGTGGGTCTTCATCTTTAAACTGGATGTGGACTGGGCAGCCCTTCAAATAGAGGACACCTTCCAACAGAGGGCAGTCCTCTGGAAATTGTTTGAGTGGAGTTATGTGCTCCGTAAAAAGGGGAGTAGCTGGCCACCCTACGTTCAATCTCAATTCCTAAACTGAAAGTAACGTAAGAAGAGTCATGTTGCATCAGACTCAGGGTCTAGCTACTTCTGTTCACACATTGGCCAAATGATGGGATTCCACACACAGGATGTACGTTCAACAGCACCTTCTTGCCCAGGTTCCCCAGCAGCTGGTGTGCATAGGTACCCTGCCTCTGATCTGGAGGTAGCATGTAGCCACTGATCACCATCTCCTCCATGAATTTGGCCAATCCTGGCCACATCTTAATGGACATTGGTGGCCGTCTTTGCAGCTTGTGGAGTAAGGACTCCCGGAAGATCTCTCTGCTCAGTGAGTTCCATATGAGAGTTGGCGTTTCCAGCAAAACTGGGCCTCAGCCAATTATGAACCTATCTTAATAACCTTAATTAATCTCAGGAGGAACCTGGCAGCCATTGTAGGGACTGCATTTGTGACAATAGTGCATATAGGCTTACCAAAAGCTTGGCAGCAGTGGCACAGGAGAGGAAGTTAAGCCTAATTCCCCCACCCCAAAAGACCAACTCCCACCCATGCACACACATTTTATAGTTACACCCATTCTCAAAATTTCCACTCAGATGAATTGTGCTGCTTCCAAAGCGGGTCTCTGGAAAAAATGAAGAGAACCCTTCTGTGCCCCTCCTTTTCCTGTGGACCAAAGGGGAGGAAAGCCATCGGCAAGCAGCTTGACCTGCCTTGTTTATATTGGCAGCATTCCCCACTGCCCTTTGGCTTCAGATGGGTTATGAGCTGAGGGAAAGCAACCTTTTGGGGTCCAGGCCAAATGACACTTGTGGGCATGTTTTCTTCTTTTGCAGAGTGCGATCCGACAGGCCACCCTCAGCAACAGAAGGGTCTCCTAGTGAGAATGTGCGAGCTTCTTGCTCCTTTCCCCTATCCAGGAGAAATGGTCTTTCCTCACTCGAGGGGCTTTCTTTCCCATCTGCCAGCCTGCGGAAAAGATACAGCTGCCTGGGATTATCCTAATAGCTCACACATTTAGCCCCTATTTAGCTTTTTAAAAATCTATTGAACTATTCAGTCTTCAGCCAAAATAAGCTCCCAGCGTGGCTAACAAAGATTAATAGCAAGGTGGACTCTGTCCCCAGACTAACAATCTAAAAGATACAACACAGAAGGAGAAAATGAAAGGACAAGACTTCAGGGCTCCTGGTTTTAAAGTTCTTAAGAGGTATTCCCTCTGGTAGGGAGGTCAAAACAAACTCTGCAGCTGTTCCTTCTCTGGCCCATCTATGGATCTAAGCTGGTGCCCCCGGGTCGTGAGGTCTGCCCTGGGAGGGGGGTGCAGTTTCTGGCTTTCTGGCCAGTGGATGAGGGCAGAGTCTGCGGTCCCGGGGAACTGTCAATATGCATGCAGCGTTCTTCCCCGGCATGCAGTGATGTTCCAGCCAGCAGGTCCATATCTCCATATTTTAGTAGCAATCACTTTCTTGCTTAGCTGCAAGCCATAACAAAACAGGAGGAATGTTCAGAAGTGAGCCACCAAGTTAGCTCTAGATTTCCTGCCCAGCCGTGCAAATACGGCCAACTTAATTTTCCTTAGCAGAGAACAGAAAAAGCACCGATTCACTGGGTGTAGTGATTTTTTCCCCAAGTTTAACCTCAGACAGACCATTTTTGCATGAGTTCTTACACAGAGGACCCTGGGGGACATGGTGGACAGCATCATCAGGGATGCTGTTAGAAAATATCCCAGAACCTGCTCCCAATGGTCATTTCCTGTAATGGCCTTGTAAGAAACCAGGGGGCGTAATATTAAATCCTAACCGCAGGAGCATTCCTATGCGGAGTTAGGGTCGCAAGTAGGCGATGTTTTGGTCACCTGCCAGGATGCACAAATGCCATCTAGAACCTTTGCAGTTGGGCATTCATAGGCCACGGGGGGATCAGTGCTTGCCCCCCTGCCCTCGCCCCAAAGGGTAGCAGAGACCAACAGGGGAATGGGCACTGAGGGCCACTGTTGGAGCTCTTGGGGGTTTAGCAGAGCCTCATGAGGACGGGGAAAGCCCATGGAGCCCCACTGCGCAGGTGTCCATGGAGTCAGGCCTGGGCTCCTGCAGGACACAAATCTGCACAAAATGTGCATGTGCCGAGTTAGAGCTATATATGCAGAATGAGAAATTATTGCTGGGATTTATTTAAATTCCACAGAAGGCAAAGGCAGCCAGTTAACTACCTACCTTAAATTACCCCAATTAAGTGCCACATGTGTGCGTGTGAGAGAGAGGGGGGTGGGGAGGGAGAGATGGATGGGGGGCAGGCCTAGGGATTAATGCTTTCCTCCCAGACTATCCCCCATGGCAATTAATTAAACCCTTCAATAGCACCCATTTAAATGCCGTTCGGAGGCTTCACTGCGGCATTGTGGGGAGAGCTGACCTGGGAAAGAGAGGATTAACCTTTCCCTTCTCCGCTGCCTCCATGGCATTGTCTCCCTCCCACTCCTGGCACTGAAGCATGGAAACAACTTTCCGTTCATACCAGTGGACACTCACTGCTCCTGGACAAAAATATTGGCTGTTGCCGTGCGCTGCCAAGTCATCTCCGACTCAGGGCGACCCTAGGAAGGAAAGCCCTCCAAAATGTCCTGTCCTTAACAGCCCTGCCCAGGTCTTGTAACCCCAGGGCTGTGGCTTCCTTTCTGGAATCGACCCATCTCACTGTTGGTCTTCCTCCTGTTCTTCTGCCTTCGACTTTCCAGAGGATGATTGTCTTGTCCAGGGAATGTTGCCTTCTTATGATAAGTCCTATATAACATAGATACAGGGCCCTGAAGAACAGGGTTGTGGCTAGGCCTGAACGGGCCGGGGGCTAGCGACTCCCTGAATGCCAGGAGCGGGCATGGACGCTGAAGGCAAGAAAACAGTCAGGAGATGGGAGAGGCGGGTGGGAGCCAGGCCTGGGCATCTAGGGCAATGTGTCAAATGCCCGTCCTGAAACAGAATCCAAACAGTTTCAGGGGCCGAGTGGCCGGGAGGACTGCTTGCCTGCTAGGAACGGTGCAGCTCCTCCCCAAAGAGCGCTTCCCCCAGTAGAAGCCTGTGTCCCTTCTCTTGAGGGGAGGGGGGAAAGGGAGGGGCACAGCAGGATGGGACTGCGCTCCCCACCCTTCCATCCACGGCTGTTCTGCCCTTGATTCAGGCACCAGTGCGTCATCCTGGACAACGCCCACCTTTCATCCTTGTACTTCTGTCAACCTTCCTCAAGTGCCCTCCTGAGGGGAATGGCCAAGAATGATGGGAGTTGCCGTCCCCACACAAGGACTGCCTTTCACACAACATGCTAAGATACCCGGGTTTACATCGGTAAGCTATCTGGGCTCCAGTCTTTTCCAAAAAGGGATGCAGCCCTTCAGCCAAAAGAGGTTCTGCAGCCCAGCTTTAAGGTGACCTTGCTGTGGTGGTTTTTAGTGCAGAGTATTTACCAATGTAGCTTGGAAATATCAGAAGGAATCGGAGCCGCCTCATGCTTATTATGTGGAAGATGCTGCGAGTGGGTCGCCCCTCAGCCCTGAGAACCAGCGACTCACTGATTCAGGATGCTGAATGTGTGAGGGGAGAATGCAAACCCCTACAGCCTCGCTGAGGCATTGGGCATTGATGTGCACTTTGGTGTTGTGCCCTGCTTTCCACCCCTTCAGTGGAAACTACAGCCTGTCACACAGATGTCATGAAGGGCAGCCATGTAAGCAGGGTAAGCGCTTGGCCCTTTAAAAGGGCAGAAACGCTCTTTGACTTTTGAGAGGGAAAACTTCAAACAGCCTTTGAAATATTGGGGTGATGGAGGGAGGGTTTCTGTTGCTCGTATTTAATTTTTTGGTGAGGGGTTGATCTTCGGGCTATACACCTTGGTCTGCGCAGGGGTGGCTATCAGGATTTGAATGGAACTCCTGCACTAAGCAAAGGGCGTTTGCCTTTAACTGCAAAGTCATCCCGTGCCTTAGAAAATGCAGAACATCTGCATAGTAAGCAAAAAGATCTCTTTGATCTGGTGACTTCCACTGCCTGCTTCAGAGCCATGCAAAGTCTCTTTGCTTTGCTTCAGTGACTGGAGAATTGGCAGGGGAGCAATTTGAATGAACAAGGATGTAAGCCTCACTTTGAGTGAGCAGCGATAAAGCTGTCCAGGCGCAGTGTCTGAAACAGCTGGAAGCGACCTTTTCAGGAGACTGCAGAGGAGGGGTGGACATAGCCTCAGGGCAGGCAGCCGCTCCTGGCCCGGGTCATCCTCCTCTTCGAGAGGCCCCAGTGTGGCTCCCCATAGGTCTTGCAGGGCCAGGAGGACCAACTGCCCATTGTCTCTGGGCCAGGGCCACCATTTCTTTCCCTGGGCCTTGCTCACCTCATCTTCTTCTCACTCTTTACATCCGAGATCCTAGGCAAGAGGAGGCAATGGGAAAAGGATCACAAGCCCATAGTGCCAAGCAGGTGTTTTGGACTGCACCTTCTGTCGTCCCTAATTATGAGCCGCTCTGGCTTGAGGAAAGTGGAGACATGAGGTGGGACACTCAGTGGCAGCTCCTCATTTGTGCAGCTTTATCCCAGAAGAGGTGTAGTCAGTCTCTCCTGCGAGTACTTGTAAGTCCCACTTCCAAATCCTGCGAAGTACTACGTCCCCTTCGCTCAGCACAGGTTAGGCCCCGTCTGGAGCACCGCATCCAGTTCTGGGCTCCCCCTTTTAAGAAAGATGCAGACAAGCTGGGAGGGCTTCAAAGGAGGGCAGCAAGCACGGTCCAGGGACTGGTAGCAAAGCTCTGTCGGGGGAGACTGAAAGGACTGACCATGTTTAGCCTCAAGAAGTTTGAGCGGAGATCTGATGGTAGCACTTGGCAAGTATTTGAAAGGCCGTTACAAGGAGGAAGGGCAGGATCTCTTCTCGTTCATCCCAGAACGCAGGACATGGAATAATGGGCTCAAGTCACTGGAAGCCGGTTTCTGACTAGATATCAGGAAACGTTCCTTACTGTTCGAGCAGCACAACAATGGGACCAATGACCCAGGGAAGTCATGGCCTCTCCCACACTAGAAGCCTCTGGACACCCATCTGAGTGGGGTGATGTAACTGGGAGTCCTGCGCTGAGCAGGGGTTGGACCCGATGGCCGTCTGGCCTATTCCAACTCTACTATTCTATGATAAATTAATGACCTTGTTCACACAAACATTGGCTTCAGATCTGTTGGTTTTGATGTTTTTAGGGTAGAAAATTACTTAAAACAGTTTTATTCTGGCAGCAGGGTTTCAGTTTTTTACTGTTACTGATTTCAGATTTTTACTGTTTTTGTTGAGTGATACTGTAAGCCACTCTGTGCTCCTTTCTGGAGAAAGGACATAAGAATCTTAAATATACACAGAATCTTAAGTATACACAGAAATATAATGGGAACTGTAGTGCAAAACATCTGTACAAGACCAGGTTGGGGAAGGCTACCTGTGGGAGATCTGTTTTAAGATTCTTAACCGCTCCAGGCAGTTTTGGGCTCCCGGTGCCAAACAAGATAAGCTTCTGGGCCACAGTCCTTGCCAAGCCCTGCTCCCTACATGCATCTCCCCACTGCAACCCCCAGGACTCCTCCAGCAGTGTTCTGGGCAAGCGCGACACCTTTTAGCAGCTGGCAGGGGGCCCACATTCTTTTACCAGTTTTTCAACTCAAGCTGCCTGCACTCAGTATTTCCCCATGTAAAGAAAAGGGGACAGGAAAAACAATTCTCTGACAAAACTTTATTTATTTCAATTTACTCCCCCCTCCACCAGTCATTATTTTGCAACATTAAGACAAGCATTAACAAAATGGCAGGGTCATGACTCATGAGTCCTGTGCAGCCGTGGGGTTAAGAGATTTGATCCCCCCGAGGGATCCGAATCGTTGCAACTCACCGTGCCTCCCTGCTCCTGGGGCACACACACCCTGGGACTGCAGAGAGTCCAAAGCACCTGGGGGCAAGCCGTACTCTCCGATTTTATGAAGCAGGTTATCGCAAGGCAGCCAGACGGACGCTGGGGCCATCTGTGCATGGCTCACGCCAAAGGAATGCCTGATGCGCAGGCATCACGGGCTCAGGGGTGATGCCACACAAGATTGATTGTAGTTTAGAGCTGACTTTAAAGCACAGGAATCACAAGTGACCACATGCGGAACATTCTTCGTCATCAAGGTAGGAGTGTCTAAACAATCATTAAAGCAATGGATGGCCTAAAACCCGAGGTGCTTACAAGAAATCTGGATGGTCATCATCCACTGTTTGGCAATGCAGAAAAATGACAAAATGTGAAACCGTTATAATTTGTATTCCGACCCTAAGCATGTCTGCCCAGTGGTAAATCCACTGAGCAAAGTGGGATTACTTTAAGTAATTATGCTTGTCTGCAGGTGTAATTTTCTTTCTCAGAAGGCTACACTTCTAGCCCTTGTGGAGACGGATTTAAAGATGTGTAGGTGGTGTCCGCTAAAGGTCCAGCGAGCAGAATGGCAGCGCATGACTGGATACAAGAATTCATTCTCTGTACCTTTGTACGGGCCCTCCTCCAGCTTCTAGATTACTGCAAGGCTGCCCCCAAATTCCTACAGCACCTCCCCAAGTTTGAACAGCTTAAACTCGAGGCATGCATCACCCTAAGGCTCAAAAAGAATTACTGCACCAAGCTGGAATGGGAGACTCAACACCAGTAAAAGGAAGGCCTCCTTCACCCAGGGCACAGTTAAACTACGGAATTCACTGCCACAAGATGCAGTAGTGATGCTGCCAACGTGAATGGCTTTGAAAGAGGAACAGATGCATTCATGGAGAGTGAGACTGTCAGCCGCTTCTCATCCCAAAGGCCATATGCTACTGCCGGTAACCAGAGGCAGCATGCTGGGGAACATGGGCAGGAGGGTGCTGCTGCACTCATGTCCTGCTTGCCGGTTCCCTGCGGGCGGCTGGCCGGCTGTGTGGACAGAGTGATGGTCTAGACGGACCCTTAGTTTGAACCGGCGCAGCTCCTCTTCCATGCTTGGCCTGGGTTCTCAACACGACAACAGTCACACCGGATGGAAGACAAAGCTGGAATGCGTCACGCAGTGCTTAGAGCCTGCTGCCGCCAGCACTCGTCCTGCCTATTTTCCAAAGCTCCACAATGCTTTTTCAAGTCGTCCTCCTGGAAAGCTAAGTGTGCCATGCCGGATTGGGAGGTTTTCAGCAACACAAAAGATTTGAGCACCCTTCAAGAAAAGCTTGGCTGCCCCACTTTGATGAAAGCCCCTTGTTCAGACAGACACAACGTGCCCTGCTGGCTTCGCTGCCCACGCGAAAGAAAAATCCCACGGAAGTCTGCCCTCGCCCGAACTTAAAATGATCATTTCAACACATTGCCACCGCGCTTCCTGAGTCCGCCTCCCATTGCAAACACATTCTCAGTCAGCATTTCACCTTTTTCCCATGGTTTTCGATGGCCTCTTCCACCACAGTGTCATCTTCTTCAATTGTCACCTTGACCTTCTTACCGACCAAGTCAAAGATGTCTTCAGGTGCGCATCCTTTGGGTTCACCCACCTTGACTGTGAGCATGTCCAGTGTAAGAGTGCTCCCTGCGGGGATCCGGACTTTGGCGACAATGGACTTTCCCAGCTACAAAAGGAGACGTTGATGGAAATTACATCAGGAAGGAGCAGTCCTGCGTTGTGTGACAAGTGATTTACACAATGGGGACTTTGCAACATTCATGGTCAGGACCAGAAGCCCTGTAGGCCCAGGTATGACCTTCCTGGCTCTGTTTCTTGCATTATGTTAGACTAGAGGCAAAGCCTAGGAGGCTGAACGTATGCCTTGACATGCATTCAAGCCATGTGAGCAAACAAGCATGCCTGCTAGCAAAATCTGGGGTTCCCCAGCTGGCCACAGCCCCTTCCTCTGATCATCTGTTGGCACCCCAGATTTGGGGCTGGCTTCTTCCCTTGCTGAAAATTTGACACTGTATTCATTTTTTTTTAAATTGAAAGTCTCCCAAGGCTTAACTATCAGCAGCAAGAACATCAACTTACATTTTTTGGCTTCACCACTTTTGCCTTTGGAAGAGGTTCTCTGGCAATACATCTTCCTCTAGGTTTGAAAGCGACTCCCCACCCACTAAGCTGACATTTCAGGTCCTTTGGCCACAAGCGTAGCAAAAGAAAGTTAGAGCACAGGCCAAAGTGGCTACCAGCAGCTCCATCCCACGGCTTGCTCCTCCACATGCGATATTCAGAGCCAAGCCACCCTGGACAGAGCTGAAGTACCTCTCAACCAAATGCTACTCCTAAACACTCGCCAAGTATTGTTTCCAAATGGGATCATCTCACCTGGGGGCTGCTGCTCCCAAAACGAAACAAAACAAAGGCTTTTTGCAGACTCTTTGGGCACATTCAAGTCTTACCAACTAGGGAGGCAAATTACAGAGAACACAGTCTTGTGTGTATTTTATTTATATTTAAAAAACGGGAGCAATTGCTCCAGTGCTCCTATGGGACACAGGTAACTCTTCTTACAAGCAAGCACAGCATCCAGGAGCATCTTGTAGGATCCCTTCCATGCCAGCATTAGGGATCCCCAGTGAAGGTCTTGGTGTGGGGAATATCCCACGCTGGCACTCAAGAGGACAGAATCTGCCCTGTTAAAAAATGCTACTGCAACCCCTCCACCAAACTGGTTTTTTGGTGGTAACCATACAGCAGTGGTAATGTGAAAATGAGGCCATGCTGGATTACAAACTTCCATGCTTACCAGCCACTGAAAAGATGGAACCAGCAGAAAATGGAGATGATGGAAGATGTACAGTGGCTGACAGAAAAGAGCCTTCCCTTTGGGTTGTACTTACTGAATGCTCGCCTTTCTTCTGGTGAGCTCAAAAATGGTACATGTGGGGCTCTCATGTGGTCTCCCATCCAAACACTAGCCAGACCTACACATACTTAGCTTTAGCAAGATGGCTGCCATTTGCCTTCAGGCCATGCCCTAGGACTCCCAAAGTTCTTAAGGCTTTGGATAGTTAATCTATGATCACAGCTGGCAGCCCTACTAACAGCATTACATACCTAGGTATGCATATGCTTGAACAGAGTTACACAACCACTCTGACCCCAAGGGCCACATGGGGTGGCATCAGAGGGCTGCATGCACATGAGAATGCAAGTCTGGGGTTTCTCATGCTAGCCCTAGCACAGGGCCCCCTTCCTTTATCTCTTGATCGGCCATCAGAGAAGGAAGAGCAAAGGAAGCTCCAGGCAGCCCTGCTGTGGAAGAAGATGCAGAGAGAGCTTGTGGACCACCTGGAATGGCTTGGTGGGCCACACTTGTTGCTTCCTCGTGCTACAAGCCCACCGCTCTGTTACGTAGCAACAGCTATGCAAGTGCTGCTGCCATCAGTAACCAAAACTGCCAAACAACACCCCACCATGGAAATTAATTCAAGGTAAGCGACCGTGCAGGATTACCTTTTCACTGCAAGCCACTTCACAGGGCAAGAGCTGCTTGACGGGAGAGCCCATGGCTGCCTCCACCAGCCGGATGCTCCTTACCAGCTCTGCCAGCTCTTTTGGCTCCAGGGATGCCTGATGATCATTCCCCTTCCAGGTCTTGTCCAGCGTGATGTGGCGTTCCAGGACCTTCGCACCCATAGCGACGGCGGCAACAGAAATGGCTATGCCGGTTTCATGACCGGAATAGCCAACAGGAATATCTGGGAAGACAGAGCGATACTCCTAGAAGAACAGAAATGTGGATGTAATTAACCAAGACGTCTGTCTTCATGACATGCAGGATATGGGACAGCTAATCAGGCACAAGCTCCGACGTGACATGAAAGAGTTCAGCTGCACTTCTTGCACAGGTTCCTCTGGTCAGCAGCCCACATACTTCGGTATTCTGAGGCCCACTGGAAAGAATCGGTAGGTTGCAGCAGGCTTGGCTTTATGTGCCTCTACGTATGGCTGGAATGAATTCCTCGTTACTCATGTCTGGTTGTCTTCAATGAATGGGATTAGCAAGCAAGCAAATTTATCAAATGAGTCAACATCCAGCATAAGTATTAACAACACAAACTGGAAACAAAATAATTATATCTACCTTACAGCATAAAACTAGCACAAAGCATGGGATGTTTTAAAAGTTTATAAAGCCTTTAAAACCTCGTGTAGTTTACAACTATTACTTAATTTAATCAGACAAGTTTACTTTCTTTTTGTTTGCCTTGACTGCAAAGAGAGCTAACTGATCAGAGCCTTGAAGGAAAAATTCATTTTAGTGTTGGATGCCCAATTTCTCATGCATCCAATGCTAAAACGAATCTCCATTTCTCATCTCAAGAAATGGAGATAAACGATGTTCCCTACCACCGGGATGGAGCCGATACTCCAACAGACAGTGTGCCAGGTCTTCCGCTGCAGGTGCACCACAGATGTACAATCTATCCTGTGCTGGAATGTCTCCAAGTCTTCCTTGTTGCATCATCAAGTCCATTTGCTCATGTCAGAAAACAAAGTATGAGCCCCTTGCATTAAAAAGACAAGATAGCTGTCTTACTGCAATTGGGTTTTGCCTTTGCCAGCCATCTCATAGACCGCTCATAGGTCTATTTGTGCTCTAAGATCTTAGACTGTGCTTAAAGGCCTATCTTACATTAAAAGTGAGATCACTAAAGGCTCCACACTGAAGCTCTAATTTAAAGGTTATTTGGAAAAAATCAGACCACCAAAATTTTCCATATTTAAGACCTTCATCAAGAATTAAACAACCTGAGATGAAACTGGCTTCTAATTCAAATTCTGCGCTAATTATCTGAGCCAGAGAGGCTCTTGATGCTCCTAGGATCAGGCATAAAGCCCAATTCTGAACCCTTGCTATGTTCGCAACATAGGCAAAGCCAAGGGATTCTGTACTGAAGTTTAACCCTGATGGTGTTTTTGCCTTATGCACCCTCCTTGATCCAGCATTCCTATAATTTAGAAGCCCAGTTGGGGACAATGCACATATAGCTGGTTTCAACTCTTTTCTCCCAATTTTAGATGACCAGGATTCCCTGGAAGAAGAAAAAACTAAGCCCAAATAAAGAAATGAATCCACTCATGCTGTTTCCTCAGATTCCAAAATCTTCACACAGACACACACAAGTCATTTTCTGACTGCAGACACTAAACGTTCTCTGTTGTCTATACAGGCCCATCCGCATTGCTGATAACAGATTCATATCTGCATATAAGAAAATGTTTAACCAACCTATCTTAATGTTTAACCAACCTTGATCCTGTAATGGTGAAACTCTATCATTAATATAAAAATTAAAAAGAAATGGTGCAAGGGTACAATCTTGCTGGAATCCTTTCTCTCTAAATTTTATTTGCGAAAGCATGATTCACACCAGTTTCAACCTTCATTCATTCAATGCCTGTATAAATGTTCTTTATGCGAATGAGAAGTTTCCAATCTATACTTGCTTTCAACAGTTTTCCCAAAGGAGTTTTCTATTTATGGAATTAAAAGCAGCACTAAGATCAATGAACGCAGCAAAGAGCTGCCCACCCTTCACAGTTTATTGGATATCAAATGGAATAAAATAAAACAATTGCCAATGCCAGACCTTCCCTGCCTAAAGCTGATCCGCTCTTTTGCGAATTTCCTTCTGCTCAGAACACTAATTTTTGAAAAAGAAACACAGCACACATTTTTGCAGGCATTTCAATTAAACCAACAGGCCTATGATTTTTAAGATCGCCTCAATCTGCTTTCTGAATAACAAAGCCACACTTCTAAAACTCTACCTGTCAGGGTTACATCCTGTATTAATTATGGGGGTAAGCAGGTCAGCTAAGAAGGCAGCGCACCAGTCTGCATTCTCCTTGAAGAGCTCAGGGGGCATAAATTCATCACTCAGTACTTTATTTTTCCTTAATGACTATATAAGGGGCTTAATTTCCTGCAAAGTAATAGGAGCCCACATAGGGAAGTTATTAATATTCCCAAAATATTTTCCACGTATGATGCTTTTACCTTCGTTTAGTTCTTGTTTCTAAAATAAATCAACATAAAAAAACTTCTCAAATGAAAGTATAGGTATTTCAATAGTGTGACTAGATTCACGTAATTTAGCAGAGACCAGATGCCAGAAAAGGCTGAATTTTTATCCTGGGCCTTCAATTTCAAACCTGCCCACCTTTTAGCAGCATAAGTACCTTTCTTGTGTGAGTTTTTTATAATTTTGCCTGAGATTAATCATGAAGATAAACCTTTGTCATCCAGAGTGTTATGTACTTTTCTCATTTGTTTTCTCAAATGCTTCCTGAGTTCGCCGCACTCCATAACAAACCACAGAAATTTTAGATTCATTGAACTGTTTGATCTTGCCCTGGTTAATAGCGAGCAACTGATGATGGGCACAGGTGACCTGATAACTGTGCAAGACAACCTCAATATTCACTTCAGATGAACAGACTTTATTCCCCAGGTCTGTGCCAACATTTGAGTTCAAATTCGGTGCACCCACTTGTGGCCACCTCAGTCGTTTGTCAGACCCTGACGCCAGGCCCTCTGCCACCCGCTTCTCTACCCAGGTCACCGATCTGAAATCAGATCCCAAAGTTAGCTGTACTGATACGAGTTGACGATCACTATCTTCTCTGGTATTTACTGTGAGGCCAGAGAGCTCATGCGCATCTTGTCTTGCCGCACAAATATAATCCGTAATGCTGCCTTCACTGCAAGTGGAATCTGTGCAGGCATGGAGGGATCTGGGGCCATCAGGACCCAACATCCGAAGCCCAGCTGTATTCAGTGGCCTTAGAAGACCTCCGCCAGCGTCTTTCTTTTGAATCACCAGACAGCGAAGAGTAGATCTCTTAAAATTCATCCCGGAATCCCCACTGCTCTGTAAATTTTGCAGGTGTTGATCCAATCCTGGCACTGAAATCACCCTCATGATTCTAAGTGTGTTTGGGAATCTTATACTTAAATCCTCCCTGAGAAGGTAAACCTCAGGGTTATAATGCTGAGAATTTACCAGAGGAATACAGATATTTACCAAGGTTAAGATTGAACCTGGGGTACTTAGCTTAATTATTGTACAGTTTGATGCTAATGTCAGTCACCCTTTTCCCTTCCCATCCTAATTCTTCCTTACCCAAAGTCACCAAGCTAGCTATTGCTCTTGCCTTCAGTTTTCCAGGCCAAACCAATCAAAGTCAGATAAAAAGTCAGTCAGATCATTACTAAGGTAACAGGCCTTCCAGCCAGTTCCATTCCAAGAAAGGATTTTGACTGCAAAATTATGGTAAACATTTTTTTTAATGTTTGATGGAAATCGTGATTATTTTTCTTTGCCATTCTCTATCTGGGAAATGAAGGGGAAAACTGATGGCAGAGACCTGGCTCCCTACACAATACAACCCAGTATTTCATTCATCTCAGTGGGATGAGAATCCAAGAGGGCACCTCAGGGCAGCTCCCACACCTCTCCCAGTTTTGTCCAGTCCACCCAACACCTCACTGACCGTTATGACTCGAAGGTTGACATCTTCAGGCTGAAGGGGGTACGCACTGGTGCACTGGAGGAAGCAAAAGTTCGGGTTGATGGGCTTCACCAACTTGTAAACTTGCTGCATTGTGCTCATCGACTGCATCCCGCTGGATATCACCATTGGGCGACCTAGAAGAAAGTCCACAGAAAGCCCTTGCCATTTCACTGTGGTTGCAGTGTCATTTCAAAGCATTCAGTTATATCTACAGATGGATTATTTGCCAATGAATTTCTGTCATTTACAGCCCTTCCTCCTAAATTGGAGCAAAACCAATACATTTTTGTATCACTGAATCCATAGTGTTTGAGAGCCAGTATGGTATCAATGCTAGAGGACTGTTACAGGACCTTAGAAATACGGATACTAGTCCCTGCTCAGCCATGGAGCCAACTGGGTGACTGTGGACCAGTCACTGAGTCTCAGCCCAACCTACCTCACAGGGTTGTGCTGATACAATGGGGAGGAGAAGCATCCAGGTCATTTTTAGGCTACTTGCAAGAGGAATAAAGGCAGGATATAAATTTAATAGCAAATACATTGGTGTGCATTTGCATACCCTTTGCAGTCCATGTCATGCATACTTAAGGAAACATATTTGCATATCTGCTCCACCTCAGTCCTCTGTGATCCCTTTGCTGTCTTATAATGAAGACAGGATGGTGTGTAGCAGGGTCTGGTGGTGGCCCTAGAAGCCTTCTCCAACCTTCAATTTACTGTTAGACCTCACTAAAAGACAAAAATAATGGCACGAATCCAGCCAGAGTGGAGTTTCCAACCCTTCTGCGGCAATCCCCATCTGCTCTTGAGGGGTGAGGTGCCTGCAGTTCCCATCATCCCTGGCCTGTATAGCCAATGGGAGTTGTACGTTAATACAGCTGGAGGGCTCCAACCTGTCCACCCTGGTCCTAGACAAAGTGGAGGGGGGAAGAGCTAAGACACCTTTGGTGGTGACTGCCATTTCTAATTAGATTCTAATATAGGAAGTAGAAGGGGGCTTGAATTCAGAGAGTCCCCATCCAGCATGACATGATGACTCAGTCCTGTGGAACTGGGTCTGGAGGTACAAATAGAAACAACCGTCACAACATGCAGCAATTGTTATTTGTGCTACTCCAAAATAAAAATAAAATATTACCTTTTTTGGCTGTCTTTTCCAAATAAGGGAAATTGTTGGTGTCTCCTGATCCTACTTTAAAAAATGGAACATCCAGTTCATGCAGAAACTCTACAGCCATCTATGAAGAGACATTTTTAAAATGTAAAATTTGCAACCCATTCCTCAATAAATACCCCTGCTTGGATTAATGGACTCATTCCCCCCAAATGTCAAGCAACTACAGCCAAACCTAAGGAATACAAACGGATGTTCCTAATCTACCCACATGCATACAGAATGGGGTGACCCGCAAAACCAAGCCAGCAGTCCCCAGTTCTCCTTGCGACTATTTACTTCTGTTAATAAATGCCGCTCATGCAGAGATTCTAACTTGGCAACCTCTGATTTGCTCCATCAGTCATGTTTAGTTTTAGATATTCTTCCCATCGGTTTTATAAAATAAATAATGAACAAATCATCCTTTGGGTAGCTGGAATGGGGGCCATGCCAGCCAAAAACCTACAAGTCAAGTTGTTCTTTCTGACATTTGTACAGACAAACCTCCCTAGGAAGTGCGTGTCCCGGACCTGCCAGCACTAGCGAGGGGCAGAGCAAGAGGGCTGGGGAGAGAACTGAAGGCCAAGGGCTGACCATATCCCAAGTGCTGCTAGGCTCATCCTGGCAGAGCAGAAGGGAGGAGGCAGAGTCTCCCCCAGTGTCGTCCCCTAAACCCAGGCCACGTTCCCTCGCACTGCTTCCAACAGGGGGAAGTCCATCTACAGCAGATCCAGGACAGGCATAAATGAGCTACTCATTTGGGAGCATGCTGGGAGTGGCGGGATGGGCAGGGATCGGGTCCTGCTCTCCCACCATCCTCCACTGACATTCAACACAGGGCAGTGCCCATGTGCCTCTACTGATGTCACAGCGTTAATGTTGGTGAGGCAAAGGCTGGAAGGGGGATCCTACAGGCAGATCCCCACTCCAGGTCAGCTCTCTCCCTACTGCCCTTGGAGAGGAATGGAATCGGGGAGGGCCGCAGAGACCGAGTCCAGTCCCCTGCCCCATGCAGGCTCAGTACAGCAGCTGGCTGCTACAGCATCCCTGACAGAGTCCACCCAACTTTTGCTTCAATTCCACTGGCAAACAAGACGCCCCCTCCCAAGGCAACCTGGACAGCTCTTACTGCTATGAACCTTCTCCAATGTTTAGCAGACATCTGCTTCCTTGTCATTGCCCTGCCTGTGGGAGCAAGAGAGGATTCATCTGCTCCACTTCCTGCACAACACAGAAGGCATTATACTCGGAGGCTACTATCAGGTTCCCCGCCATCTGCTCTTCCCCAGACTAAACACCCCGAACTCTTTCAACAGATCACCTTAGGACCTGGCTCCCAGACCAGTTCGGCATCCTAGCTGCTCTTCTCTGGATGCTCTCCAGCTTGTCAATGGCCTTCTTAAAGTGGAACAACCAGAACTGGGCACAGTACTCTAAATGCCACCCGACAAACACAGACCAGAGTGGGCAGATTACTTCCCATGAACTGGACATTCTGCTGCACTTCATGCAAGCCAAGGCTGCACATGCTTTCTTGGCTGCCACATCACACTACGGGCTCACATGCAGCATGTGATCTTCAGAAACGCTCAGCTCCGTTTCATGCACACTGCGGCCAAGTTAGGCCTCTTCATCGTCTATTTGTGCCTTTGCAGAAACCTAAATGCAAGACGTGACCCTTATCTGTGCTGAATATCGCCTTTTTGGTTTGGCCTGGTGTCCCACCCTGTCAGGAACCTTCTGGACGCTGGTTCTGTCTTCTGTGGTGCTCCTAGCTTGGTGCAATTTGCTATGCAGCCCCTCATCTCCCTAGTGGTGGTGGGGAGGACAGAAAACATCACCTGGCTCCTGGGCATCACTGCAGTCTTAGACTGGAAGCCTTTTCCTGCTTACCCTGGAAGGGAGTCTGCAGAACACAATTCTTCTGAGCAGACATATGGAGAATTCTGCTGCTAATGGCCTCCAATGCTTTAACTGTTTTTCTGAAAAACTAGTAATTATAAGCAAAGTATATGCAATTCAACTGTCATGCATTAGCATATTTTAAAGTATTCCATTAGGGTGAAGCTTTCACTGCAACATTTAAACCTCACAAAGTGTAGCGTATTGATTTCCCCTGTCAACTATTTCAGTTCAACTACTTTTGCATATTGGAAAAGCCATTTAGATATTTATGCATCATGAAAAATTCACAGGATGTGTTCCTTAAAGTTTGTTTATTAAATGCAGGTCAAATCAACATGCGAGGCCTGATCTCAACTGCTTGAAGTCAGTAAGGGTGCAATCCAATGGCTTCCCGATGCTAATTGGAGTCCTAGCTCGAAGATCCTGCAGGGACTCAGAGCTGGGACCCTGGCGGCAGAGCCCCTGCGCCACCCCTCTTGCAACCCGTGTGGAAGGAACCACGCCGGCTTGCCTCCCCTACGGCTGTGTGTGTGCCCCAGTGGAAAGAAAAGTGTGTGCGGAGGGAAGGAGAGTGTAGCTAAGGATTTATGCTGATTCTTCCTGACACCCTTCCCTTCCTTTCCACTCCATGGTGCTTTATAACTAAATGGAGGTCTAGCTAAAAATTGGGCCATGAGGCACAGCAGTGGAGATAATCACGACCATGCCTTATTCAGGGTACCTGCACCAAGGACTGCACTGTAAAACATGTTCTGGTTCAAGATTTCCCAGGAAAACTGCTACTATATAAACTGGAGTGGGAAGTTAGCATGTTTGACTTTACAAGCACAGAGAAAGTGATGCTACTGAATACAAAAACTCTCTCCTGGGGCTGGGAGGAACAGGCTCTGAGAAAGGCCATGACTTGGGAAAAGACATTGTTCCAAAAAAAACCTTAATTCATTAGAGTCAACGCCTTTTCTACTCTATTTAGAGCGGGACCGAGAACATGTTGGGAAAAGGGGATCTCATTCTGTGTGATTTGTGTGAAGAGACAGGAGAGCACGCTCTATGTCTAAAATTCACTGTACAATGAAGACAGCACAAAGTGAAGCAGGTACCACTTCACCTGCTCTGTGTGTAATCAAATGCCCTGTGGGAAAGAAGGAAGAGAGGGGGAGACAGAAGCAAGCAGAGAGAACATCAGGGCCTGCTCCCATTGGACTGCCAGCCCATCCAGCTGGGAGATGAGAGAGATGCAGCAAAGATCTCGGGATGCAGGGAGGGGCTGATTCAATTTTAAGCAGTTTGGGAGAAGCTCCGATTATCAGCAAGCTGTGCTCTCAGGCTTATCGCAGAAGATGGGCCCAAGGACATCTGACTAGAGCCCTTCTGCGATGGGCAATAATGCTGAGAACTGTCAGCAGCTGGGAAAGATGGGGCCACAAGGGTTGGCTTGCTGGCATCACTCCAGCCCCAGATGAGTGGGACTGAAAAACCAGAGCCCTTGGTCTCCTGCTGGATCTTGGTCTGGTGAGAGATGCTACTCCCTGACCCAAAGCCAAAGTCTTGGCGGCAGCAGGGCCTGCGTTAGGTAACTTTTAGGTAAGGGTTAGCTTTATTGTTTTACTCCTGTGGAGCAACAAGGAGTCTGTGTGCTTGGCATCGGGATGTTATATATTTCTGACACTTTGTAATATTGCTGCTATCCACCTGCCCCTTCCCCTTTCTGTTCTGTTGCCCAGTCCCCTCTCCTACTGTCTTAATAACCTCTTCTTTAACATGATCTGGCATTTGCATGAGTTGTGGTGCTAAAATCTGGTGTCTTGACTGAGGAGGGTGATCTTGGTTATTGAGCAGGTTTTGGTCCGGCAGTGGTGAGACAGAGAGGGACATGCCATTACAAGGGGAACTAGGGCCATCCCAGCAGTAAGGCCTACTTAATTTTTTTCCTCTTCCTTCAGCATCCCTTTTTCCTTGTGTGCTGTTTCTTTTTGACTAGAAGCCTGCAGGCAGTCTTTCTGTTTTGATGAGTGATTGCAAGCCATTTGCCAATGCATGAGGGATGGCATACAAAAGTTTTAAATAAATAAATAAATAAATAAATAAATTTGATGAGCCTTTTCTGGCTGAAGAGAGGAATATGATGCAGAGGAAGGGCTCTGAAGGTTGGCCAACCAGCAGGAACCCATGACCATGGAGAGATGGAACCTCTTTTCCGTCTCTAACTCCTCTGACCAGTTATCCTGAGGGAATGCCCATATAGGAGCTCCCTCTCCTTATCAGGACATCAGCCAGTTGGAACTGAAAGAGGAGCAATAACCAAGCCAGGGAAGTTTTTTTTTTTTAGAAGTCCAGAGGTTATTTGAAAGGCATTTAGATGAACAGCCTGCCTGCAAAATAGCACGTGGGGGATGTCAAAACTGGCGATTTCTTTTGAATTCAGGGCCCTCCACCTCACCTCATCCATGCCTGACGCTGTGAAGAAAATGCCAATCTCCTTCGCGTACCGCTGCAGCTCTCGGTACTGGTCATGGCTGAGCTCCAGGTGGCGCTTGTGCTCTCCGTAGGTTTTCCCCCAAGAGTGTTTGGAGGTGTACGGCCTCTCCAGTGCTCTCCTATTGAATTTGTACTCCAGTTCACTCTTCTGGAACTTGGCACAATCTGCTCCACATTCCTAGAGAGGCAAAATTGTTACTATGGCTACCAAAAGATCACTACTAGACCATGCCACATGCATGCTGTGCATTCGCACCACCTGAATTTCCCACACTAGTGAAAAATGACAGAGTCCTGTGTCACCCTACAGATTAACGGATTTCTTGTGGGAAGCACTCTCCCTGACTCAGTCGTATTTAATGCAAATAGACTTACTGCCAAATATGCATAGGAAAGAAGGGTCTCAGCGGTTCCCTGTACATATTTTATTTAGCAAATCCCAAACTGAGCTACTCCCATGCATGCATTCATGGATTCTGTATCAGACTTGGCATTTCCAGGCCTGCATTAAAAACAGGTTATGCCTCCATGTCCAATTTTCTTCAGGGTCAATTGCGAATAGAACAGACAAGGGCCATCTAGGTTCAAACCCATACTCAGATAATAAAAACTCACTATGTCTCACCATACAGCAAAAGGGAGTTTCTCCCAATAAATCAACATGAGCCATTCTGGGCTTTTTAAGGGAAAAGTGATGGAAACGTGGTTCATAGAATCATTTCAGCGATGCAGTTTAAAAAGGGGAGATCCAAATGCTCCATAACGGGCTTGTGGCTAACAACCTATCAGCCTCATGATTTACAGTGTACTTTCCTGAAAGATGAAACATCTTGCTGTTAGCTCAGCCAGTATTTTTCCATGCACCCAACCACAGGACGTGCAAGGAGGAAGTACAGTCCGCAGCATCGCTGATCGCCTAGAGACCCCACACCTCGCGAACACTTCTAAAGCATTTTCCATCTCCCAACCCTGTAGTAATAGACCTACTAACGTTCCATGTAATAAAATGGAAATATTTTGTTTCTCTCTCGTCGTCCCCCCGCCCCCGTCCCTGGTTTTGGCCCTTGTTTCAAGTTGCACAATGAGACAGAAACAGATGTCCTTAAGAGGCACCGCCTTGGCAACTACAGGTGTTGGCTTATCTGCCAAGGCTAGAATATTATCATCTTTTAGACTATTATCGATTCGACCATTATAATCAGCAGCAGTGTTTCGGCAAGCGAGCATTACAGGGACATTATCATGTCCCACTGCTCCCATGCAACTTCTACCCTCTCAACCGCAAGGCTACATTACTTAAAAATAAGTAACAGAATAGGGGAGAAGCGGACATGCTGTTCTTCCGCTATACCCCTCGCCCAGCCAGGGCTCAATTTCTGGCGCCCAAATTCCCACTGCCGGGGGTCACCCGAAGCCACGCCCGCCCACCGAAGCCACGCCCCAAGTCGCCCCCGGCACCACCTTGGCCACTCGGATCATCTGCTTGGCGATCCCGAGGTCTCCCTGATGATTCTGGCCAATCTCGGCAATAATAAAGCACGGGTGGTCCCCACCGATGGGTCGGCCGGGGCAGAGCTCAAACTGCAACGGCATCGCGGCGACCTTCCGTAGGAAGCGGCGAGCACGCCCGCGCCTCTGGAAGATCCGGGCTGGCAGCAACCTCACCGCCGGCTCCCCGGCCACACAAGCCCTTCCCTGCGCGCATGCGCCCCGTGCTAGCGTCGCCGAAGAGTAAGGGGACACGTCCCCTAACCATCTGGTGACGCAGAAACGTTCTGCGCGCCTCTTCCAATCGCTGAGAACCAGTTCGTAGCCTCCGGGGCCAATCAAACACTCGCACTCTCACGGAACTCCCGACAGGAGCCAGGGGGTGGCGCACGCGCTCCAGCCTCTGTCCCGAGGCGAGGCGCTGGAACGAGTAGCGTGAAAGCCTCCCTGGCTCATGGCTGGCTTTTCACAAGGCGCTTCCGTTATGCACGATCCTGGATCACCGCCAGCCCGGATTCTTAAGGCTGTTCTTTCTTGTTGCCAAATAGATCTGTCTTTTCCGTTTAGAAACGTGGCATAGAATTTCTAGGTGTGCGCTTTCCGTACTGTAAGCAAGAAGAAAGGGCAAACTGGAGTACATGCACTCAGAAGTGTTAACGGTGTTTACTCTGGGATCAGTCGTGACGACTTCGGTGGGCCTAACTTCTGAGAAAGCACACTTGTCGTCACAGCCAAGCAGGCCTTTCCTGAGCGTGCTAATTAAAGACAAGACCCCATCGATTTATTGGAGATTTTGAGGTGTGCTAGGATTGCAACCTAACTTGGCAAGCCTAGCCATGCTTTAAGCGTGACCATAGTAGGAGAGGACTGAGATCTTACACAGACCTGGAGGGATGTTTCCTTGAACTCCCCAGGGTAGCTCCTAGGTGACTGAAGAACTGTCCTGCATAGTTCCACAGGCGACTCCAGGTTGTTGAGAGACCCTGAAGGGCCTTCTCCCTGAGAACCCAGGAGCCATGCTGGACCAAGGGGCTGCCTAATCCAGCGCTCTTCACACAGTGCCCGCCCACCCACTGGAAACCCACAAGCAGGCCATGAGGGCAACGGCACCTTTCCTTCATGTGTCAGCCTTTGCTCCGTGCCTGTTGTTCCTCGGCCTTGTTCTCTGCACTGCTACCGGGGTGCAAGCAGGCGGGGGCACCCCACCACCACCACCACCACCACGTTGTCTGGGCCAGAGCGAGAGGGTGCTGGACGGGCTGGCGGCAAGGGGTGGGCTTGGTTAGGGAGCCCCTGCTGGGGTCTAGGCCCACAGGTGCCAAGCGCCCCTGCCTCCGGCCACAGCCCAGATTTGGGAATAAAACGGCTGACAGTTGCCTGCTGAGTATGAAGGAGGTGTTGGAGTGGAAAACTGCATGTTCCAATGATGAGTTCTCTGAGGAGGAGACCCACCGTTGGAAGCCAGGGGGCATGGGCACTGGGCTAGTTTTGAGGCAGAAGAGCTGCATGAATCTGCTGCCATGGGGCTTTTGCTTATTGGCAGTAGTAGACAGTGTAAGGTGCATATTGGATGAGATAGTGAAGAGCACCAAAGATTACTAGAAGAACCAAAGTCTGAGCAGGAGTGAATTTGGGGAAGTGCCTATTTGGATAGCGGAGTCATCTTTTGATTCTGAAGAAATGAGAAGTTTATGGAGAAAAGTTTGTGCTTGTTGCACCTTCTTTTGCCGGGCACAGTGGCAAGATGCTTAAGGAAAAGCTGGGGTGGTTCCACGTTTTTCTGGAATTAGTTAAAAGGTCAGTAGTGATGGTTTTGAGGGCGGCACTTAAAGAGCTTAAATGAAACTCGATCATGTCATAATAACCAATGAGTGAGTTCAAAGGAAACTGGTTTGTTATTAGACATGGAGCTGACGTAAGAGATCTGAACAGAAGGGTGTGTTCCCGCCTACAGTCTCAATTCTAACAGAACTTATTTGGTGGGGTAGGGGACCTTTTCTTCTGTTGCTTATTCACCCACCTGCGATGTCAAAGTGAAACTTGACTAATCTCAGTTGTCATAGTCACCAAGTGGGTGTTGCTATTTGAGAGTGGAGGAACACAGGCTGGTGTGGAACAGGTTTCAGAATCAAGAAAAACCATTTTTCTGGCCACCTGTGTCAACATGGAATGAGTTGTGTGTGTCAAACAACCTCTTTGAGTTGTGTAGAAACGCTGGTAAAACAATGGAATAAACACCAGGGCAAAGGCAAACCTCAGCATGCTTATGTGAATGTGTATTTAACTGAATTCAATGGGACATCAATGTAAGTCCTCTGGTATCAAACAAGGTTACATTTGTGATATTCCTTAGATGCACATCATTTGCTCTACAGGCACAATACCATGCAAGTTTAGACAAAGAAACTGCAGCTTCCAGCAATCTCCACAATCTTTTTCTATCTAAATTTGCATAGGATTTGCACCTTACGATGTGGAAAAGTTTGTAATGCACTTATATGTATTTCTGTTGTTAGGTAGAGGACAGGAGAGCCTGGAGGAATGTTGTCCATGGGGTTTTGATGGGTCAGGCATGACTTTGTGACTAAACAAACAAATTGTTAGGTAGTTCCTTCCTTGGAAGCCGAGCATCTACCACCCTGCCTGGATGCCGCTGGCCAGGAAGAGCAACAGGGCTGATTTTTGCTTCTCCATCCACTGTTTACAAAATTCTCCTAAGTGGGCCTTTAAGCCTACCTAGAAGAGGTGCACTGCCCAAGGTTGAGCCAGGGCTGGAAAGGCCAACGTGAAGGCCGTCCCCTTTTCTCTTCCTCCAAGGCTGCATCTGCAACCTCAGGAAGCAGACAGCACAGTGGTGCTGTGAGGGGGCAGAGGATCCGAACTTGGACTCCCCTCCCAAGCTGATAGCCGTGTCTAAGGCCTTAGGAGGGGTACTGCAAGCAATCCAGTCTTTCCTGGGATGGTTAGGTTTATTTATTATTATGTATTCTTTAGTAGCTTTCTAACCCGCTCCATTAGCCATATGGGTCCGTGCGCAGGTTACAACAACAAAATACAACATAAAATAAATACAGAGTAAAATACAATATAAAACAGCAATTACAAATAAAAAAACATTAAAACCAATATCAGATGCACACAACTATTGACATATCCTCAGTTAAAATGCTACTTAAAACAAATTAAAGTACTGTTGAAATAAAAAGGTCCTATAAGAATGCAGAAAAGGCACCAAGCAAACCTTTCTGGGGAGCTCGTTCCAGAATCGGGGTGCCACTGCAGAAAAGGCCCTTCTTCATGTTGCCACCCTCCTTATTTCCTGAGGAGGGGACTCCTTCAGGAGGGCTTGGATGCAGATCTAAGGTGTTGGGTAGGTTTGTACGGGAAGAGGCACCCTGACCCGAAGCTATTTAGGGCTTTCAACACCCGTGATAACATCTTGAATTGGGTCCAGACCACAACTGGGAGCCAGTGAAGATGGCAGAAGACTGGCTTTATATAAGATCGTATCTGCCAGTCCTCATTAATAATCTGGCCACCCTATTCTGGACCAACTGACATTTCTGGACCATCTTACAGTGTGTTGCAATAATCCAGACGAGAGGCTACCAGTGAGTGGGTAACTGTTGTCAGGTCTGTCCAGATACGGCCACAGCTGGTATATCAGCTTAAGCCAATAGAAGGCACTCCTGGCCACCAAATCCACCTGGAATTCCAGGGACAATTCAGGCTCCAGAAGCACCCCCAAGCTGCAAACCCTGTCCTTTAGGGGGAGTGTGACCCCATCCAGGTCAGGCAAGATGTCACCCATCTAAACAAATGCATTCCCTACTAACAGTATCTCTGTCTTATCTGGATGAAGTTTCAGTTTAGTAGCCTCATCCAATCCATTATCAAGGCCAGGCTCTGATTCAGATCATCCACTGGCACACCTGCGTCCAATGAAAAAGAAAGGTAGAGTTGAGTGTCATCAGCATACTGGTGACCTCACCCAGGGGTTTTGTATAGATGTTAAGGAGCATGGGGGATAAAATAGAGCCCTGCATGACTCCATGGCATAAATGCCATGGCGCAGAGCAATAATCCCCCAGCACCACCTCCTGGACATGGCCAGTCAAGGAGGAGCGGAACCACTGCAAAGCAGTGCCCCCTAGTCCCAACTTGACTAGCTTGTCCAGAAGGTTCCCATGGTTGATGTCTCAAAGCTGCTGAGAGGTCCAGGAGAACCAAGAAGGTCGCACTCCCCCTGTCTCTTTACTGGCATTGGTCATCCTACAGGGCGGCCAAGGCAGTTTCTGTTCCAAATCCAGGTCTGAATCTCCATTGAAATGGATCAAGATGGTCCGTTTCATCCAAGGGAGCTGGGGCATTGGGTGCAACGGGCCACATTTGGGTCTGGTTCTTGCAAGCGTTGGCTGCTATGGTCTTTGCCTTTCACGCCTTGAGCCCTCCTCAGGTGGGGGGTCTTCACCGAAGCTCAGAGCCCACACAGTTTGCCTGCCTGAACAAGATCACCAGAACACAAAAGAAAAGGGCTGCCCCTCCCAACGATCCCCTCCAGTCTGGAGTTGGCCAGCCACCCGCCCCCCCGAACACCTTGCCCAGGAAGGGGATATTAGTGACTGCTCTATAATTGTTCGCATCTCCTGGGTCCAAATTGGCCTTTCTCGGGAGTGGTCTAATAACAGCCTCTTTCAACGAGGCTGGGACCACTCCCTCTCTTAATGAGGCATTCACAGCCTCCAGGACCCAGGGGCACAACCCCTCTGCACTTTGGACAACCAGCCATGATGGGCAAGGGTCAAGCATACCAGTAGTAGACCAAACCGATCCAAGCATCTTGTCCACATTCTCATGGCTCAACAGCTGAAACTCACCCAATAAACTTGGACCAGACAGAACACTGGACACTTCAGCTAGAGGGAACTGCATCAACCATGGAGTCTAACTCCCGACAGATCCAAGCAATTTTACCTTCAAAGTGCTGTGCAAATTCCTCCCAGCGGGTCACCGTGGGTTCCACCCTTTCTTTCACAGGGCTGGTTTGTAAGACCCCCTGAATCACTTGGAACAGCTCTGCAGGACGGCACAGAGAGGATGCAATGGAGGTGGAAAAACAAGCTTTCTTTGCTGCCTTCACCACCATGGCATAGGTTCAGTAATGAGCTCTAAGCTGTGCTTGGTTGGATTCATCATGGGGTTTTTTCCA